CCTTGATGGAGTAACCAAAATGCATTATACACATTAGAGAAAAATTGCAGGAGACCCCCATTTAACAGCAAGTATTGCAGCCGCCTAATTTAGAGATTGTACAAAACCAGACTTATTATCTTCCCGAACATCCATGTGAGGATCATTTAGCCTCCCTGGTCACTGTGGGTGCCAAAAAACGCACTGACAGGAAAAATTGATGTGCCGCATGAGACTGAGGCTGCACATGTGCAGGCATTCCGCAGGGGTTCTCAATATTTCATGAGCCTGTTTACTCAGTAACTCCATCTAACAATGAATCAGGCATTTAGACATGAAAATTACTCCACTCTCCTGACCTCCCCCTCTCTCAAAGATGTCTGGTCGTTTAACAACCATCAAAACAGCTTTGGAGATATCCTCTCTGTCAAGTATGCTTTGATGTCGCACACACACAAGTGCCGCAATCGCTCCTAACAATTTGTCCCATACATAGCGGTCATAGCCTGGTAAGGACCAGGGATTTTGGACTCCATGTTAGGTTTCGACCAAATAATCTCATGGAAGGACGAGCCTGGAACGGTGGTAGATCACAATTTCAGCACTGTGCCCACTTAGTGGAGGGTTCACCTCCATTTTTGGAGACTAAATCCTGCAGACAAATTAGGAACGGACCATTATTTGGGAGGAAAATTGGAAAAAATCTCCAGGGTGCTGTTCATCACTTAATCCATGCAAACAGACAGAAATGAGCTCATGTTTCATAGTAATGTTGGTAACAAAAATCTATGGACCTAATTCCACAATCTGTCACTTAGCTGTATACTTAGCTCGCTGATATCTTATTCTCATATTACAGGTAATATTACACCCAGCTACCAGTTATGGCTGTATATGAGTAGCGTGTATGTGAGCATGGATATAGATTTTTGACTAATGAGGTACAGTCAAACCTGCCTATAGTGGTCACTCAAGGGACTGGCCAAATTTGACCACTATGGCCAGGTGACCACTATAGAGAAACAGCCGGTTAGTTGACCCCCCCCCCCCAAGAAGGGACACATGCTTTGAGTACCAACAGTGATGTCTTTATTCTGAAACATATGAATACATACATTGATTTGCAAAGGTAAACCCCTTTTATATGTACATGTGTTACTTCAATAATTTGTTGTTCTTTTGCTTTAGTTGTACTTTATTTTGTACTTGCTTGAAAAAAAAGAAATACAGAAATATTGCATGGAAACATTAACTTGACATCAAAGATACATACACTCAACATATTCAGTTAATCTATTCTGGGACAATGAAACCATTCACATAATTTAAAACATACAAAATCACTGGTTGTCATTTACTGTTCATGTGTACATACTAGTACTACATGTGGCTAAAGAAAAGAAAGCAAATCAAGCAACAAACTTTCAACTCCAAACAAATTTCTATCGACTGCAAAATCATTTAATCTAAGCTCAGCTTTTGACGATTTCTTCTCACTCTCTCTGCCAGTCGAATCACTTCCACCTTTTGGAATAAGTTTGGCGTCCGTCTTTCCGCTTTCGCCATCGTTTCTCCGCAATCGCCACGTTACTAGTAGTTGTTGTTGTTAGTCGAAAAGTGGAAGAGAACGACATCGCCATGTTTTTGTTCTTTGGTGAACACTTGCTTCGCGCGACCGACATACGCCACAGCGAATTCCAACCACGTAAATAAGTTATTTTGTACCAAGATGCTGTCTATTTAGTTAACAGCAAAATAATTGTTCGTCAGTTGCCAGTTACTTTCCGTTTTTGGTCGTTTTTGAACATGAAAACTTAGCGAAAACTCTCCTTTGTTTACGGCTTGGGTTTCTCCCCGCGTGGGTTGTCTGCCTCTACCATTATGCCAATGTGGTAGTCAACAGAAAATTTTCTCCTTTCAGACTTATATCTTTTCTAAAATATCCACTACAGTGTTAAATTTACATCTAAGATTAATTGTAGTAATGTATTTCAAATGTTTTCATAATGTAATTACGTCATTTGACGCTAATAAAGTTAAATAAAACTCGGTGCATCTACCTCCATAACAGTGGAGTCTTCCGATGACCCCAATTGACCTCCCTCTGCAGTTAACATGCGCCATCTTGGAAAAATACGAAACGCATTTTCGAGCCAAATTTCTTTAATTATGCCCATGAAAAACGGAAGCTATGCACATATCTACGCATTTCAAGAAATCGAGAAACCAAATATGGATATTCTTAAGTTTTTTTGTAAAGATAATTTGCCGTAATCTTCGCCGAGCGGCCGAGTCCATTGAAAGCTCCATGCGGCACGCACGACACTGGTGTTGGGGAAAACGCAGATATCAAGGACACCCGCGACCGCAGAAACTTCGTGTCAAAAGTCAGTTTTCCTTTATTTCATACACATATGGAGTCTAATTTTCAGTTCACATTTTAGTAATGTAGCGATCGGAAAATTATCACAAGGCTCATAACGGTCGTAGCCCGAGGTGGGGTGGTGTTACGGCCGTGGTGCTTAGCGGGTTACGGCCAGCCGCGACCGCTATCGGCGGTGTTGACATGCCGGCGGGACCGGAATGGGGTGACCGCTGACCGCGTTGAACAGTGACCGCTATAGACACGATTCTTAATGCTTACGTCAATGGGAAAAATTCAAGGGACCGGCAAAAACTGACCGCTATGGCCGAGTGACCACTATACAAAGGTGACCGCTAGTACAGGTTTGACTGTAATAGTTTTTGTGCAGTACATTTGGAATCCTGTCATATTGAATATTCTGGTCCAAGAGAAATTATGGTACAATTCTGCACATTCAAATAAAGTCAAGTAAATATTTTTAGACAATGTTGTTTATATTATAAACAACATTGTCTAAAATTAGTTAAACTATTCTATGTTTTAATTCAATACAAATACATTACACAATTTTAAAGACAGCATATTCCCAATTAATAGAACAGCTGCAACTTGTATGTATGGGCCAAAATTTAATCACAAATTTGTTACTCTATTAAAAAATGTATATACAATAGACTATCATTGCCATCCAAATTATCATATGAAACAATCATGATTAACATACAGCACTGCAGACCAAAACAGACAGATGTTTTATTTTTCAGTATGGAAAATAATCCTTTTGTGTGCGAGGTGCCATATTCATATACTTTGTAATTCATATTATGTATCAATGTCATCTGCTTTATGACTAGAAATGAATTTCAAGCACGTATAAAGATCAAAGAGATCCCAATAACGATGTCCCTTTATACCATCAATGACCGACCCTAAGCCATATAAGTACTCTGGTCCCACCATTTCAATTGCATAGAAAAAGGGGCGAAGAATAATCCTGGACAGGATTAAGGTTTGCCATTCAATATGGCTCAGTACACAGTGGGACTGATTCTGATACTGTAAACAATCTAAGCTGGAAAGTGGTGAAACCCCTGACACTCGGTGAAATCTGCTTAAACCACCTGCACTTTTTCCATAATGTACGTCAGAAAGTCTGTCTGTAAGGGAAGGACAACCATGAGCATGATTCTCTACATTCTGTCGTGCAGGAAATTCCGACTCAAAACTTTCCAAACACTTTCCACATTCAAGAGGGCTTTGAAATGCTCTTAGCACCCCGAGCCTGTGGCCCGAACTTCGGGAGGGACAAAAGGAGGGAGAGGAATGGCGAGTCCAGCAAGACTCTGGAGTGTGGTTTCTAAACACAGCTGCTTGCGTGGTCTTCTCTCCGATAACCCAAAGTTTGTTGACGTTTCTGCTTGGAGGGTATCGCGCCTCCTCTGGCTGAATACGCCGGCGGAACGTGACACCACACCAGCTGTCTTGATTACACTAATTAAAGAATCTACTGAAGCATTGAAGACTGGCCGCCAGTGTTCAAATATTGATACTCGAAAGGTGGACGGACGTGGCGTCCATTTTGGGGAGCGTACTTCACCCCCCTCCCCGTGTCTGAGGATCAAGCTGGTCACACATGCCCGGCACCCCTTGTGTGTTTAGACTGAGCGTGTGTGGAAGGTGTGCGCGGAAGTTTGCTAGCTGCACCCTTGCGTTTGCAAAGACACCTTACTATCCAAATAATCCTCTGACAACACATGTTCCATCTACATCAAAGAGCATTAAAATATTTCTTCTGAAATGATCTTCAAGTTCCCTCAAAGTTACATTAAAATGTTTGCTGTCCAAGCAAGACTTTGTGAAAATAAAGAAAATTTGCCTTTCCTTTCTTCTTCATCATGTATCTGTAATACCTTCATCCTTTCTCTCTCTCAAAAAAAACAAAAAATCTCATTAGCAAGTACTGCCCTTACTGTTCAATGTTTACCAGCAAGGATTAGTTAGAGCACCCCCAATCCATACCGGGCAGTCTGTTTGACTTTGAACTTTTCCCCTAATAGGTCTGAAGACTTTGCCCCCTCTCGAGAAATGTTGTAATTATACCCAAAAGAAATTACGGCGTGCTTCACTCTGTTCAGTTGCCTCCCAGGTTGGATTTTCCCCCCTCTTACAATCTTTCCTTTCAAGCACTTCCTCCGAAATTGCATTCCAGGTAAAGCTTGATTCAACCGCAGTCTACCAGCACACTAATTAGGCACCTATCAATGGAGTTTCAACGGTTGTGGCCATGGTCATCCTAGAAGAAAGAAAGCAATTTCTCTCGTTAAATCTAATTATTTGTCTAACCAACACATGATATCTCTGGGCAAACACTCTATATGGGTACCCAAGATTAAATGCTAGTTTCAGATACAGGGTTGTTTTCAGATACTGCTTCCCTGTGTAACAGACCAGCTTCAAAAGCAAACAGCATGTATGTCGATGTATTTAAACCTCATGTAGCCTGAAAGTGCCACTTTAACAACACTATGTCCATGCTATTGTTTTATGATAAACCATTCATTCACTCCCTTTACGAAGATCATATTGAAAGGTGCATGCCGGAAAGAACCCCCTTTCGGGTGCAAATTGTTACAAAATTCCACCGAGCCCCACAGGATTAATATCTATGGGGCAGTAATGGTGGATGCAGGGTTTCCTGTAAGCCTTCTTGACCAGAGTTTGCAATGCAAATTGCCATCGACCTTCAACAAGATTAGTGCATTCTACACTCTGCAGTTTAACGAATGAACCAGTAATCAAACGGAAACCAGTTCCGGGGAATTGCAAGCTGGCGGGATGTTTTGAAATCAAGCAATCAATGGAAAACATGCCGGCCAGTCCTAATTGAAAGGCATTCGCCATGCAGAGTTCTTCATGATTGGATAGACCTACCGAAAAAAAGCATTTTGAACCTTCAGCCTGCTAAGGTACGCTGTTAGGCACCAAATTTGTATTGGTTATGGGGTTTGGCAGGAGGGAGGTTAAAACCCTGCCGCTCGGGATTTCATGGTTCCTAAAAGAAAATCGTAATCTATACCAGTGCTGGTGTTTTGTAAACTGAAGTCACTCAAATTCCTTTTATCTATTCAAGTAACACTTGCTCACAACACCGCAAATCTGATTTGCATATCTCATCTTTGGGATAGAGATCTGAAAGGTAAAATGCATCTAGGCTAATGGCATGGCATGCATATAAAAAAAGTGATGCAAATTCTCATATCTTTTATGCATCTTTACCTTTCCCTTCTACACTAATTTATTATGTGTTTCAAGATAATGTATCGTTTTAAATGAATCTTAACAATTCCAGAAGATGGCAGAATTCTAGCAAAATGGCTCCCGTTTTTTCCTACTGTGCAGGCATGTTATAATTGGGCAACTTGTCAACCCCCAGGAGTACTGGCAGGCCCTGGAATCCTGACAGGAATGCCCAGTATTTTGCCTGACCCCTGGGGCTTGTTATGTCTGACAGGTGCGGAGTCCCATGCTGAGATCCCCACCACCCCTGGGTATGTAGTGGGGAAAGCGGCGAGTCAACTCCAGACACCAACATTTCATCACCTCTAACTACACAAAATTGCCACTAGCTTGTAGCCGGGAATTTTCGGCATAATTCTTCCACAAAGCACCCCTGTATAAATACATTCTAAATGCGCACTGACGTCATGGAGCACAGAGAGGGCCATTTTTCTTGGCTAATGTACCAGAAAGAAAGGAAAAACATGAAAATGAACACATTTTCCATGGCGAGGACTAAAAAATGTAATCCCAACAACAGTAAGACTACTAATAAGGGAAACATTAAGGTTGCCGAGAATTTTTAACATCCAACAAAATCCCCCAGAATCCTGCCGCCGTGTAGGATCCTTTGTTCTCCCCTCGGTACTCAGGCGGTTTGGCTATGTGGTGAGCGTAAACCAATCCCGACTCGAAAAGGGAATATCACTTTCACAGGAAAACATGTCCCAGTAATCTCTCTATCTCCCTGGATGGTTGGACTCTACACATGGAAGGGTTTCCTTCACAACCGAGACAAAATAAGAGTGAGCGGCTACCCCATTTTCTCCCGGTTCAAACAGGTCATCTCGTGGTCTAGACAGATTGCAGTTTCCGACATATAAACACCTAATTGATCCGGGAGGAAACAGAACACACAGCGGTGCAGCCGCCTGCGTTATTTGGGGAACTACGTTTCAAAGAGCACTGCCATTAACCCACTCGTAAAAATCCACCTCTCGAGCAGCTACCAAGTGGACTCTTGCATATCATTTCATAACCACAGAATAATGCTGACAGAAATCTAATAATTGCGGAAATCTTTCTTCTACAATCAAATAGTCAAACCGATAAATTGCTGACCCATAACCCTGATATCTGCCGTAAAAGCACTAGAAGTCAATGAATGTCCGCTGTGCCAAACTGCGTCCACATAATTCATGACCAAATGAAACATTGTGTATTCACACATTGCAAATTCAATTGAATATATCAATTTGGTTAGATCTGTCTTGCAGTAGATGTAAATTTTCAATATCTAGTTGTTGAGAAGTCATCAGCAAAATCAATCCTGAAAACGTCTGTTGAAAATGTCCAACATAATTGTATAATTTCCATGCACATAAATCTTCTGCTATGGTCATGGAACAATATTTTTGTGTAATATTGCAGAACACTGTTTGCCATGACAAAGCACATGTACAAAAAATTTCTTACCACTTGTGGTAAAAAGACTACAAATATTTTTCTCAGATTCATATCCAATATTTTCATGACAAGATATCTTCGCTGTTATGACCAAATCCGTCAACCCCATGATGGAGATTATGCATCCTTCCCAAGCATTTTCCTATCCTCCCTGGAGTCATAAACCACTGCATCCGGATACCTATTAGGCTTTCCATAGCTGTTACCAGAAAAAACGAGACTCAATCTCTTCATCTACATTCTATATCAGCTGCAAAAATCTAGCCTTAGACAAAGTTAGTACTGACCATTTTTTTCAACATTTCCAAAAATTATTATCATTATCTACAGTTTACTGGGCATTGGTTGATGTGAAAGCAAGCAAGCTATATATTCTTTTTTCAAAATGGAGTTGCTAATATCCTAGATGAAATCCTCCCCCCAGGCCATAGGAAATAACACTCTATAATTGTATATTTATTCAAAACTCATATTCACAGAGGACAAGGCAGAAATACATCATTTACTCTATGCAATAAAAATAGCAGGACATGCCAATAATTTAATAAAATCAATGTAGCAATGCTGGTTTAACCTTCTCAAGGCATTTGCATTCACACATTTGAACATGTGAAATAACATCGGTTTACAGTGTCCTTTATTTTTCTTACTTTTCAATCAGCATGGCGTGTTATGTTTCTGTCTGTTTCAGACATAATACCGCCACTACTGTGAGTTTCCCCTTGCTTTAATCCTTCCAACTTCCAACCTTAGCTGGTGTGTTACGCCGAAAGGCGGTTATACCGGCTATACAGATACAGATACAGAACCAACGCATAAGCTTCCAAGCCAGATGTGTGGCAGAGATGGCCATTTCTTGCTTAAAAATCTAGTGACTGAAAAAAATCAAGTATGGATGAACTGCAATAATAAAAACAGGAAGTGATGGACAAATTTACTATATTTGACTAAGTATTAGAAGAGAAAGGGGTTTTAGGTACCTCTGCATTGCGATTTGTTGCTGCCATTGTCTTTCTGCTTCTGCCCGCTGTGGGTCCATGCTTGCGGTGACCGTCATGCTTCCGTGTTTCTGGTTGCTTGAGGAAGTGATCTGCCATCTTGTGGGGTCCAAGGGCCTTGCTCCAAGTACCTGAATACCATTTTTGGGTTTAGCCCTGAAATAAAGAAGAAAGGTGCAAAAACGTTTTAATGATACGTAACCAAATGAATGAATGACATGACTTCTATTTATGTTCCTAAAATTTAAATTAGCAGTTCCTTGAATATTCTATCAGAAAGAAATACTTATTTTATTACAATCCTGTTTCACCAAAGATTTTTTTATTATTCTTTATTAACTTCCTGATTCTCTGCAATTGGTCTCTGCATTAATGGCACCAAATTTTTATTCGTTACTGTTAACTTCGTGGGGTAAATAATGCAATCCTTTTCTTTGTAAAGATAACTCAGTTCTGTTCTGAAATACACAATGAATCATATAGCTTTCATGTTGTCTAGGAAATGTACTTTACCCATTTCTGTCGAACAAATGAATAAAAACAACAAAACTTGAAAAGGATTGGAGATTTTGTGAGCTCAAACAGCAAGTCTTTGATCTCTGACCTTGTTTCCATATCAAACAAGGTATCAGTAACCTATACCCTTTGATGTATTTTTCTTTCTCAAAGCAGAGACAAATGTATTAATTTACACTGACACACTGCAAGGATTTTTACAAAGGCCTGTTTGCACAAGATTGTTCCCATGGTTGGATAGACTCTTGTTGGTATTCCACACTTGTAACTTGTGGTCTTTATGTGTATCTGCTTTTCTTATGGTGAATGGACATAACGTTATGTAAGATCATTTACATGCTGAATGTAAGCTCGTTCAGTGGAACAGTGGCATTCCATGTGACTGCAAAAACAAACTCTCGCTTGTGAAAGCACATATATACAAAGACAGGATTAGGCTTTTTTCCAACATTCCTACAAAAATCCTGTCTTTACAAAATGAAACCTACTGCATAGATGTACTGACGAAGTGGTACATCAATATTTTCTGATTTTGTCATTTTTCCTTGATGATTTAATAACGTCAGCTCTCACTCCGACAATTCTGCCAGAAAACATCATTTAAAATTTTACTTGCTACATGGTAAGATTCAAATCATTTGTACCAGGGAAAATTTGACAAATCTTCACGTAGGAAATCATGGTGGTAAGACGCTTCACATGTTCCAGGTTCATAACCCCAACTTCTCTGATTGCCCTCCCAGCTTCAATTATTGATCTATGGCGAACGCCAGACAGCCATTTTGCCCTTGAGACGACATTGTCAGCCATTATCACTCGGTGGGGCGACACCTCAATGTCAAATACATTTGACCCTCCATCTTTGACTGTATTTCAGGAGTCTCCTCTTGCCCTTTCGTCGGCTTTACACACACTTAGGGATGCTGAATCAGGATATTAAATGTCGAAACCAGAGGTAGATTACATTTAATACATCCAGAGGCCATGACCTTTTTCAACCTTCTGAAGGAAGGAAAAGGAAGATAAGGAATTGCTTAGTGGGTTAAACTTCTTATACACCGACTTATTCTCTGTTATGATGTGAAATCTGTTCACTCATTCCTTACAACTTATAAGATAAGGCAAGGGGATAATTCTGAATACATGAAGACATTTTATACCATGTTTTACATTCTGAAGCTTTAGATATGTTACAATGAATAAAGAAGCTTATACAGAGCCTTGCATTGGGGACTGAATCTATCTTCCAAGTGTCACCACTATTCTCAAGGGAATGTTTCCGACAGTCTTAAACATGATAAATTGGAGGAAGAATTTGCCCTTCAAAAATGCTGATTAATGAGCCCCTAATGCTGCTATGTATGATTAGTACTCATTTCACTTTTCGTATTAAGATGACAAAAAATTGGGATCGTTGTTATGAATTATAATAAGGTAAAGAATATAGTATTTAGATAATACATACAGTGGGTATTTCCAATGTTTTAAAAAATTTGCCTCCCAAAATACGGGAAATAATAGAATGCCAACTTTTGTTTCTCCTCTCCACAATGAATGCCTTCCACAGTCCAGTCTATCTGGTGGGAACGCTGGGCTAGAACAGGTCAAGCGCAATGCACCTATTGAGCTGCATGCATGGAGGCAGGGTTCTGGGGCCAAGCAATGGCAGCCTCCTTTCAATAATATGGCATCAGATCAATATCTGCAGAAATCATAAGTCCAATACTGCAGATACCCAAGCTGATACTGAACAAATCTGATGACTATGCTTGATCCCAGGATGTGACATACCAGCATTTCAATAAATGTACTGGCCTCTGAATTGTTAAATATTAATAATTTTATGGAAGGGCCTTTTTAGACCCAAGCATGCCATGATGGAGCTTGGAAACATCGGGGATGTAGGAATTCAGACAGACTAAGTGGTATTGAATTTTCTCTGGTGTTGGAAATGAAAAATTGTGTGAACAACAAAGATGGCTACACAATCACTGGCAAAGCTTCATGGGTATTGAATAGATATGCAGGCTTTTTTCTGTTCCCAGAGAGAGAGAAGTAGCTTCGCATAAATTCCACCTCATAAATTCACTGGCCTGATGGCAAAACCTTTCTACCAGCCAGCCCTCCAGGACAAAGGACATTGCTTGGGAACCCATTTGAATTTCAAACGATATTCCGTGGCCTTGTAAAAAAACATGCCACTTCGAAATCGCAACCATTTGAGCGCAATTCAAATTCTGGCTGCAGGTCATCCCTTTGAAAAAGCAGAAATGTTGCTCTTTGGGACCATCAATGACCCTTTCCCGCAGGTAAAAGGACGCACTGCAAGGTCCTAAAAGACCTGTTAGCCCTCATTTATGTATTCTAGTCAGGGCAACCAGCCTATTGGTATGCAAGTGCGTGGTGCGAAGCATGTGAAATGGGTTTAGGCCATGTTGGCAAGGGCAGATTCTGCCCGGAGATGCAGCGGACCATGCTAAATGATTACAGTCGGGCAGAATGAACGCGATAAATTATTGAAGGCGAAAACAGACCACATGGAGTCCGACATGACTTGCCTTCATAACAACCATTGACAACCTTTCATGCTACATCTGGATTCCTTGACGATGCTTGGAAAATGCTGAATTCAATGTCAATCATGCATATTTTTTTGTTAATATGCCATCATGTCTTCTGGCATTTTAATCTTCGATCTTGTATCTCAGATCTTTCTGTGAAATTGGGACTAAAAAACAATATTTTAGTCTGAGATAAGAACTGAGAATGCAGCGTCATGACTTAAATATTCTATGGATGACAGCTTCATGCATGAGGTTGCTAGACAGCATTGTTGAACAGGGCAGATGGTTTATTGTTTGACAGAGAACCAGTTGAAAGGATATTGTCCTCCTCTTGGCCATCTGTACCCCAGAAATACTGCAGCTCCTGACCCCAGCTTGCAGTGTTTTTCATCTGTGTTTTTTCGTGCGACTCTTTCATGACACTGTTCTGGGAATTTCTGTTTCACAGCTTTCAAATACTACTGAATAATTGATTAATCCACTATGGTTACTGTCAGATACCTATGCACAATGTGCACTCAGCAACAATTTTCCAGACTATTTCCCCGCTGATTTCTACCGAAAGCTCTACTGTGGTGACTTATCCTTTTGTTGTACATGCAAAAGGCCTACATGAATTAAGCATCTTCATAGTTCATAAAATTCACACCTGTCAGAAGAAGAAATTCATGTACATGTCATATGACGATGACCTTACCTGATATCAAATGTCTGCAGGGTAGAATTTCCACTCAGAAGCACAGGGATGGAGAACTGCTGCCCAGGTGTCAGAACCTTCTTCGGAATCTTCAACATTAGGTTTGAGCCGTCCCCGACTTCTTTATATTGCACAGCTGGTATGGTCAGGAATACTGCACCCACGTGTCTCAGTTCAGGAATCTCTCCCCGCAATCTTTCTTGTCTAATCGAGTTCAAATTCTCTTCTGGACACTGCAAGCTTTCGTCGAGGGGCAACAAACTGTAGAAAACCTGTACTTCCTTGTCCTGCCACTTGCCCTGTTGCATGGGGTTCTTTTCCGTGGCCGAGTCTTTCCACCAGTGTAGCGGGAGCTCTGTTTCTGCGATACAAAGGCGTTCGGGTCCGTCCGGTTGACACGTGGCCTTCGCTTCTTTCCCGTCCATCGTCACGTGAAGTACGATGCATGGTAAGGGTCCAGAGCCCTCGTTTCGTGACAAGTCACTTTCCACAATATGAAATAACACCCCTAGTCTGGACTTCTCGGGGGTTAGACTTTTATCTAAGAGATGCGCCCGGATGTCCAGTTTATAAAACTGGCCGGGACTTGTCCGGTTCAGGCCGGGAAACAAAAACTCGTGTGGCACACTTTGTTGCACTTTGAAGGGGCCGTAGCTCGCTCGGACGACTGCCGGCTCCCTGGGTCGGAGAAGTGCGAACTGGTCGATTCGCACCGTCTCACTCCCATTGGAGAAAAGACTGCTAAAGTCATCTTGTAGGAAGTAGGCAGAGTCTGCGTGCTCGTAGGTTAGATGGGCAGGGAAGCTGACAGGGACAGGAAACACCTCCTCTTGCAATGCCTCCTCTGCTATACTGCGGGCTGCTCCTGTACAAACAAATAAAAAGTAGCATATTACTATGATGCTTTGTGTTTGACTTACTTTCAGTTTTCCCAATTATGCATTTCAAACACATAGAATTTAACACAGATTGTGCAGCATAATAATGTAGGTGTAGGTAAAACCTTTATTCTAAACCTTTTTTGCTAAAAAAATAGCATGAAAGTGGGAATGAGAAAATGTTGTACAAGAGTGTAGCATATTGGAAATTTGATTTATAAACTCAATATGTTGGTACAGCTATAACTACCACGTGTAATGTGTGTCAACCGTATTTGCATGAGGTTTATTTTCAACCTGAAACTTGGGACACACAAGAGCTAGGTCAACATCAAGTGGTCATCCACTGGCAGCCAGGCTCAGGTGAGAGGATAGGTTCACCTGCGTTGGTGGTCTCGGATCACTACCAACGCTGAATAGGGCACCTATGTCTGCCATTGTTGGAAGCAGGCCTCCTAACGTACCACACAGCTTGTATCCGTCCTTGAGGTAACTTTTGTGACCCCCAGACACCAAACTACAAGCAAAGCACGGTTTTGATTGGCCGAGCCATGCGCTGCACCCAAAATACACTTTGGCAACTTGACTCCTGTAAGGGGATAATGTAAACAATCAGCTACCCCTACGCCAGAATAGCCGAGTTGACACTGTAACTCTAACTGGCCGGTAGTGTAAACTCAACACAAGCTCACTCTGTTTGGAGTTACCCAAAAGGAAAAAATTTACACTTTGTGATATGTAACCGCTTTGCTTGGGATGAAGTGCATGCTAACACTGCAAGATGTCTGCGCCGCTTCGCCTCGAAAGGATCCACTTGTTTATACTGTCAGGGATTGGCTCAGTGAGCACGCAGATGCAAACTGTCATCTGCTCTGCACATTTTGAATGGCTAGACTTTCACAGAGAGAGTGCCCACCATGCCACTTGTTTATTGAAGATTGTCCATTACAGATAGAATTGATACATGAGTTGCAAGTGAACTCTTTTCTCGGACAAACGACACCTAACAGTAAAGTCTTATCTAATGATACTAGTTTTTAGTCTGAAAATAGTCTTCTTATAGGCTTCTGAGACTGTGCTATCTAATCCGTAATTAACAGTGTATTCTCACATTCAATCTGTCTAAATGTACTGGCAGTCTACATTACACAGTACACAGTGAGTTAGCTACAAAGCAGGAAAGTATCTCCATTTTTGTAAGCTTGGTTCTAGACTGTACCTTCATGAAGTGTATCAAGGGATATTACACTATTCATGTAACCTTCACCATGTAATTGTAAAGAGGTCATGTGATACTCTGAATATCAAATATTGTAATCTTGTAACAGACTATTCGAACCTATATTACATTACAGCATAATAAACTGTACGATTTGAAATTTGAACAGACAATGCCCATGCTCCATTCTTCTTTTCACCTTTCCAGTGCTCTCAGGAGAAAATAAATCCTACTATGATGTGATAGAATAATCTCAATCTTGCATTGCATGATCACCTGGGAAATCAACACTTTATAACCTTGGCCCATCAGATCCTCTAATGTTTCCCATTTGCCAGCAAGTTACATTGTTCTCACTCGCAGTAATTACAATGATGTTGGATGACTCCATCCCAAAGCTCATGATACAGTCGAACAGCAGACAAATAACTACATCTGATGCCAAAGAGGAGATGACGTTTGCAAATGGCAGGTTTCAATTCAGACAAGCCAGGCCCTTTGGGGAAGAAAGCGAGTGCTCTTTATAACTCGAGAGCGAGCCACTCAAAAAGCTCCTAGAAGTAGGAGTGAAAGCTGTGTCTACAGCGTAACGGTGAGGCCTGTTTTCTCCGCTCCCCTGCTTTGCCTTCAAGAGGTGTGTAAACACCAGTTAAAGGAACTGGCTTCAAACACAAAGACTTGGAACACATATGTAGTTTGCTTCGGTCCCTTTGGCAGCCATTTTTTTGTTCACTCGGTGTTCAAAGAGTTTGCTTGAATTAATCATTAACCAACCCACCTTTTTTACAACCTTTGAAGATTAAAGTTTACAGCCTAATGGCTAGATCTAATAGACCTTGCCGCAGTAGATAAATAACCGATTTTCACACATGGAGTTGTGTAAACTTCTTGTAATCATTCCAAGTTTGGGGAGAAAACAGGGGCTACACATGTGGATGTGTACACACAGTCTACGTTTGCAAGCGAGTGACTCTCCGCTAACTGTTTGCTTTTATTTCTTCAAACGTACACTTCCAAACACCGGCGATTATACAGGTCTGGGAGATAGGCAATATTTAGGGTTGAGCTCCATTGTATGTGTATGTTGTTGCCTGATGGTGGCATTTCAAAGCATGTTTGTTGACATTATGATCGACCAATGGACCGTCTACCTCCCACGCTTGACTGGCGCTTTGCAACCTGCCAGCCAACCCTCTGCGAAACCAGCCAGGAACTCCTATCTAAACATCACAAACATTTCTCCCTGCCTACTGTCTTCCTTAAGAGTGGGATCAGCGGGGGAAGCCTCTTGACAATGCTGTCGATAAGCCTTGTTTTGTCGCTCTCTTCTAACAGGGTATTTAGCCGCCGGCCACCAGGCAAAAGTCTCTGGTTACTTGTGCCAGATTACATGGCCATTTTTCGGTGCAAGTGATCCGAGGCATCTTACATGCAGCCTATTGTTCCAACCCACCAACCCTTTTCAAACAATATTAAAATCAAGCCGGGTTTGTTAGTTTATATTTCAGTGCTGACTGGGACTGAATGAATCGTCAACGTTTACGCCCAAAGTACTAAACAGCGACTTTGGTGCTGATTTCAGTATTTTGCAAATTTCCTCCTTTGTTTATGCCTATAAAGGAAAAGCGGTTAGTAGGCGAATCCCCACGCCAACCAGGATGAGTTAGCCACACAGAATGGAATGTCTTTCCAGTTTAGGCATATCTTTGACCTCAAAGGACTCTGAAGGATAAACACAAGCAATCATGGCAGAAACACAATCACACCGGTCCTTTCAACATCCGCCTGATTAGATTAAGGTTCCATTAGCCTCGCGATGATGAGGCCGAAGAATGGAGACTACAGGAAACACACGCTACCAGAATGACTCAGAAACCAATCAGTGAGCTGTTCCCTCCATAACCTAGGGGGAGAGAGACTGCGGGCCCATTTGCGCCTGTGAAAACATTTAGTACCCATTACATCCATCAGCATCATGAATCATGACCAAAAAAGATGTTCTCTCCATCTACGCTGTTAGACACCTCCCTGTCAGCAGTTGGGAGAAGATAATTCATGATCATAGTCGCTGGAACCACAATCAGATGTAAAGCTACTTTGTATGGAGGTATTCTATCAAATCAACTGCTAGGCAGTGTCTACTGTTTTGAGAGGCTTATGGAAAGGCATAAGTCAGCTACAATGTAACCATTTTCCTCTGTTACTTAACTAAAAATAGGTACACTTTCTTTGTTTTTTTTTCTCTTTTTCCAACCTTCTATCTTATTTGTACCAAAATTTACATCTTTTCAATCTGCCAACCTGAGATTTTAAAAAATGATAACCGAATACAAGATAGCATAAAACATGACAAATGAATAAACATGAGTTTCTCTCCTCTCGCACATGTGCTAAATCCATTCCTCTATGCGGTGCTGCACACCTTCATCTGCTCGTTCTCCCTCAGGGTTGCTGAAACATGTTTATGGAAATAGATTGAGATCACAGATGCACCTCCAGATTTATTCTCGCATTCTGATTGAAATCTATCATCAGGACAAAAACTGCTCTCTTGGGAAATAATATTAGTATGAGCCACGAGGGGGGGACTGCAGTTATGCTACCACCTTGAACTGTGCGGGATTATCAGGTGTGTGATCTCACTTTTATTTCATACAACAACAGCGATCAGGCTCAAGGGACTTGTTGGTCACCACAGGCAATGACACTGTATGACATTGTCATGTAAGAATCTATTCAACCATGGTGTTTGGAAATAAGAAGTGCAAAGGGGCTGTTACAATCTACCGTATCCAATTTAACAGTCAACAAACTTGAGATCAAAACTTTTTACCACTTGAATTTTTTCTCCTTGATTCTTTCGAATACAGACATCATAGCATTTGGATTTATTTCTTTTATTAATCAGACAAATGATAGTATTGATAAACAGAACCATGCCACCCCACTGTTATAATGTTTAGTCAGAATATGATGACAAAGGAATTTTAGCAGAATCTATAGCTGCAATAATGGGGAAATATCTATGCGGCAGAGGCAGACCCGGCAGCCATATTGATTTTTTGGGGGGCACAGCTAACCCCTCCTTTTCAGTAGGTCATTTACTTTCACCCCAATCAATAATGCATTCCAGAAGGGGCTGTCCAGAACATGGTGTTTTGCTACTTGGTAGGTAGCCAACGCAACCCATAAATTTGATGCTGTCTTCATTCCAGACAACATTCAAATTATCTCTTATATCATAACTGGCAGTCGGAATAAGAAAACATTTTCTCCGCAGACATCTATTTTGTGCCAAATGAGGACAAAAGCAGTACAATGGATTTTATCTATTGATCTGACCAGATGTATAATTCATTATTCAATTATGTACATACTCGGCAAATCCATTTCCCACTTGCGCGGCCAAACACGCTCCTTAGCTGAACCCCCGTTCCAATGCGTTTTTATTTTTACAGCCGTCGCCACGAGCAGTTCCGACTCAAGTTTGGTATTATGTATTTATTTCTCCTACATCTCTGGCATTTGTATTGATTTTTCACTCCTACAAACACACCGACCATCTCAAACAAACTGGTGCCAACAAATTATTGACAGAAATAGTTTTGTACCTGTGGATATACATCCACCAGATAACGATCAAATAACTGGCCAGCTGACTGTGTTCTCAAAAGTATTGATTGGGCCCAGCTATTCTTGCCTACCATTGTTTTTTTACAGTATTGGATTTTACAGCACTGATATGAGACTTTACAATGGCTAACCAAATGGTAATCACACGGTCCAGATGACGATGCAATTTCAGCTTTCTGGAAGAGGTGACAAAGGTCCAAAAATGAACTGCTGCTGTTTCTAATAGTGCCATATATTTTCTCAGTAACTTACTGGCATCTTTCTTAGCAGATGGGCAGTATTTTACAAAGTATTTTGTTTTGAAATAATTTTGGTTGATGCTCTGGATCAACTGAAATAACAGAGGTATTGTGATGTCTGCCATAAAAAAATGACGGGAGGTGGGCAGGAAATAAAAATCAAAAACTTTGGCAAATTTGGATCTAATAACCCTATGAATGACCATGGTTGTGCAAAATCTGCATATATTATAGTGATGTATAAAGCATTCTTCCCAGATGGTTTTATTTTTATATAATGTTTAAAATACTGTACTCTAAATGATCTGCTATCTGTATAATATTGTCATTCTCCTGGAAAACAAATCTAATCTTTTTAGATCTACAAATCCGTAAGCTGATTTTCTCTCATAGAATATTACATTATCAATATGAATATAACATTATGGGATTGCTGGAAAATTACTAGCTTCTCAACTGAAGGGCCACTTCAGTAAGATTACAGGGTCCACGATCAGCAGTTTATCATTCATGGCAGCATAATCTTAATTAGCTTTTAGGGTGGATCAATATGGACCATAAGGCATAACAGTGAGATGACCACCTTTTCAAGATGTGTTCATCTTATTTCAAGCAGAATGGAGCATTTCTTTTCATACAGTTCAACTTCAAGCTTGTGAAGGTAATTTTTTTCAGGAAACAAATGGGCGGAAGGGGGGAGACACAGCAGGACAGAGAAAATTTGCTGTATCATTATATTTCTGTATACTGTATACTAAAATTTGCTGTATACTGTATACTATACTCATATTGCCATTTGGAAGCCAAATTTTGTAGCCACTCTGCAAATATGGCACCGCTTTCAGATCTGAGCCAGTCACGCCGAGTCAAACTTGGATGGAAGTCAGGAAAGGCTTTGCCCCCTCTGCCCTTTCTGGCACAATATCACACCTCCAGGGACGAACAACCTGGGGGTTGCGATCAGCACCTCCCCACCAACAGAAATCTGTTTCTCATCTTCTGCAGTGCATATTTGTGTTCCAGCACATTACAGACCAGCCATTTGGACTGGCAGGGGGAATTGCCAATGACCCTGCAAAATGGAATCAGCCGGCCATGTCACCAGATCCCCCTGCTCCGCTTTCCAGGTGCCTAATTGATTGCAAATGTGGGAAGGAAGGGAAAGAGTCTTCCTACCTACACAGTCATCTAGTCAGTCTCCCCTGTATCTTTACCATATCCTGGACAACACTCTTTCATTGTGGTCGAAAAAGGATTGTGTTGTCAACAAGAATGGCAACGAATGGCTATGAGCCTGGTATGAACTTGGACTTCCATGGTCTTGAACCACTTAACAAATCTAAGAAGATAAATAGCTAGGTACTGTTTCAGACAGTATCTCGGTTGTACTGCAGTTGTTGTACAAGGCTAGACACCCTTATCATGGTTGTTATAAGCTTCAATACATTCTGATTAATTCAGATTAGCCCCCCTCCCCTCCTACCAACCACACAGCATGCAGCTAAACTCTTCAATAGATGATCCCTTTAGACCAGTAGCCAATCACAACATGATGTTGTCACTCCCTGTGTAGGGCCTGATGTATCAATTCAGCTCAGGTCTGCTCCTGCAACCAGTCTCAAAATCTGGTCATTTATATGCGCATAATCATGAAGCCTGAGCCATTGAATCTACACCTGTCCATCCACACCCTGGGGTGAGGCTGAAAGGAGTCCAGGTTTTGTGGTCTGCTTCATCTGCAGTAAAACTTCTGTGATAACGCATATTCATGTGTCATCTGCTGGTGGAGTTGTAGTCTTGTAATGAAGCCTAGCTATTATTCCTAGCCTACAGGATAAAACCCCACAAAACATTGTATCATATTTTATAACATGTTACAGCAAACTTTTCAATTCCAACACCCACAAACGTAACCCAAACAGCATTTTACTGCCTGTGTGACTAGCTTCACTTCTCTGAATGATGAAAAACTGTAGTTAACAAAGTTAATGAAATACCCAATGAATATGACCTTTCAAAAGTACAGAGGCAACATTTTTCTTACAACTTCATTTGCTGTTCACACCATGGTAATAAACACACTATGAGTTAACAGCAGGCCTCCTAATACTTTTTTATGTGGCTCGTAAAATGTGTTCATTGGACATCTGTCTGTATTTGGGTAGGGCTTATCGAATATAGCCACACTGCCAAATGGTATGGTGTGGCAGAAGTACCATTACTAGAAATGAAATACTGTCTACCATACATGGGACAGTTCTGTAATACTGCTAGGTTTCCTTTTCTCTGTTCTTCAATAGGTGGTAACTAGTGTTGTTGTTGTTGTTTTTTCCTTCATAACAATCTATGGCTTGCTAGACAACAGAATCCCTTTGTAGATCATCTCAGATCTATGTACACCAGGCCAAAATCAACTGAATCATTGTAAAAAAAAAAAAGTAGAATAGAAATGGCCAATTTCTTTCATTCCTAAGCCTTACCATAAAAGTTACAGTTGGCTATGCATGAGAATGTTTCTTTGATTTCAAAATGCGGGTGCAGAACAGAGATGTATGCTGACACGCAGACAAAGGGAGGGTAGAATAATCACACACATTTGATATTCACGGCTATGCATATATGACACTTTGTATCCTGGATACTGGTCCATGGGGAAAAGGAAACGCACACCATCAAAATGCATGAGTGCCTTCTGGAATTTTATGACCCATGTTTTATTGCCATTCATATCATTTCTGGAAAAAAATTCTGAGGAAACTTGCAAAGACATGAAATTCAAGATGCACGGCAAAAACCTCTAAACTGTAAAATTGTACTACTTGGTTGCCAATAATAAAACAAAAGGTGACTTAAAAACAGACAGGTAAAAATATTTTTGCTGCAATCAGGTGGGTATCAAAGCACTGAATATTCAATGCTACCTTGTATATTCATGCAGTGTAAATGGTTTAATATGTACCAAGGCTGTAAACTATGCTTGTTTAACATGTCAACAAAACGTTACAAATATATAGACTTGTTTGGCGAAAACTTGTTTGCGGAAAGCTTTTATGTCTGCTACAACCCGATTTGAATAAGAAGCCTTCTCAATAGACATAAATACAAATAGCGATAGGGGAAAACGCCATTTGTTATGAAAATTCTTAATTTTGGAGTTTCAATGGATACAAGCTAATTGGGGTTGTCGTGTCTTTTTGTGTTCTTTTGTTTCGAGGAAAACGTGTTAAAATTGGCGGGGTGGTGGAAATTGAGACGGGTGGCTGTCAAATAGACAAAAATCATTCACACACAAAGTAGTTTGGACAAGCCGCTAGATCCTCTACAACAATGGAGGCAGATAAGACATCAAAAAGTCTAGAGCCGCTTCCTCTAGTTTCCTCAAAAAACAAAAGCCCCCCTCCAGAGTAGCAAAAACTAGCGGCGACTTTAGAAGTATACAACCCGATTTGCTCCATGTAACACGTGTAAATCTAAACCCCTGCTGTATTTGCTCTAAAGAGGGCCGAATCGTGTTGTCTTCTCGATCAGTTTCTCTGATTTCATGTACAGGAATTTGCACATACTTTTCTTACTGTTTTGCGGATCTAGTGACATCAACTATCAATTTGACACCTTCTTAAAGTGTTGTAAATGGGAATGCAGGGTAAGGAGGGATTATATAAGGAAGCGCACAACCATGCTGTCGGTAGTTTTAAGTGCTCGTATCAAGCTACCGTCGTCCAATATTTGAAGTCAAGAAGCCATGTCAAGTTTGCTTTGACCGTGCCACCCTTGCAATACAATACCACTGAACCATTTTGTAACACCTCCGCCACTTTCCGCTACATGACCACGGCACAAAAAGGTGGATGACTAGTGTTGAAATCATAAGGATTTGCAGTCGTACCTGTGGTTATGAGACCCAGGAAGGCAGCTAGGAGGGCCGACCGGTAGACGGCCTCCATGTCGAGGGCTGGGGTTGTCGCTGCACCGCTAGATCTGTGTGGCAAGCCGTCTGGATACACAGAAGGCAGCGGCTAGTCGGCGATGTCCGGCGCGGAGAGAGAGAGGGGTGTGTGTACGTGCTCTGGGTGTGTATACACGGCTACTGTGTCTGCAACACCTCGGCTCGAGCAGTGCCCCGCTACGGACTCACACCAGGGTGCCAGGGATCGGTGAACAGGCGTTCATCTCTCGCTCTCTCCATCTGTAAGCACCCGCGCACATTGCATACATTTACTCCCCAATCACATCGATTTCCAAAACAGGCCGAACCCAGGGCCAAACATGCGAATCGACCGGCCAAGCGGCGCGCTGATTGGCGGGCGGCGGGCAACAAAGGGCCGCCCTGATATTTGATATGGGACCCGGCACTGCGTGGAAGAGGGGGTGGCAGGATCTCATAGTATGCAGAGGTATAAATTTTACTATGTTGTAGACTGCGCCGGCCGCATTTCTTTTTAGCGCTTGCCAAAATTTCATTGCTAGTCAATGTTAAATTTCCCTTCTTCCCAATCAAACAAGAAAGCAGCAAAACATGCAATAGAGTGCAAAATTCACGATAGTGTGTGAAGCGGAGGTTAAAGTGGTATCTTCCAAAAAATTAAGGGTAGGTTGCAGCAGCGACCCCAAGCGTTAAGAATAAGTACTGAAGGTGATGATGGCTGCTGAAAGATGAACTTGTGCAAGATATTGTTGATGACAAATAGAGATTATAACTTGATTTCTGAAGTTAAAGTATTGATGATTTCTCCAATCCATTTGCAACTTTTCCTGGAGATATCAATTAAAATTGTTTACCTATGCTTTACAGAAAAGGGGCATGCAGGCATAGTATCAAGACATCAGCATTTTATTCTGCAGCATACATTGTGTTTAGCTTTAATAAGATACACAGAAATAAAGGCATACTCCGCCTACAAATACATGTACTGGATATAGCATTTCAAGTACAACTGGATATCACAAAAGTAAAAAGTCTTCAGTTTGAAGTTTGAAGACTACATTGGACTAGCCCTGGCCGGATTGTGCCTGCACAACTGTGTGGCTCAAAGGCTATATAAACTGAGAAAGGCACCTCCCTATACACCAAAAGGTGTGGGAACTTTTTCAATCACACACATCCTACTGGTAATGCTTATTACTACCTAGCCTTGGTAATGTTGAATCCTTAGTACAATGTATTTCGCATTCTGTTGGTGCAATAAACACCACTTGCACATACATGTAATAGTATTTGCTCAGTACATACAGTTACAGTAGCAGTACATAGACACACTAAATGCCATTTTACAAGCACAGCCAGAATGTCACTGTAACTCTGAACTTGAAGACAATGTAGCAGCTGTTAAAAATCAATTATTGTACATTCAATTATTTTTCACGAATATTTGACAATCCACTAATGCATTGATTTCATCATTAATGACCAACCAACCAAAAGAACAGCTCCAAAATTGAAATTGATGACCAAAATCCACAATCCATTTGTTTTGTATGCTTATGCAGAGATCTTTTTGAAATACAGTAATTTCACATTCTCTGCACAGAATTGATCACACACATTGCACATCAAACACATGCACAAGTAGTTATGAGACGACAAATACTACATGAATACATAATGTACATTTCAACAATACAAAATGAAAATGGCATATCTCATCAAACAAATGTACTGACTACTGCCTAGTACTGAATATGAATATTAATGCCACCAATATATCAAATTTTTCACGAATATTTCATCAAGTAGATCATCTATTTGCTGTGCATAAATATGGCTTCAAGTTGATATTACCTCTCATAAGTTTTGCCGGCATCAACAGTTTATTAAAGATCTCAACATTTACATCCCAATGTCTCAAAATTGAAGTATAAGGCAACTATGTATTTTCCAAGACAAGATAAAGAGACATTGTATTGGGATCAATAAACATGTATATGTTTGAGTAACTTTAGGAAATATATAATTTTAGGTGCTGTATGTGACAATACCAATTACTTACATGAAATTAACCTGGTATCCAGTCTATTGTGGTTGCAGGGGCAGGCTGTCTTCGGGGCTATGATAATGATAGTTTTTCTCCGCCCAGTACAACAGGTCGCCCAGTAGGAGTTTTATGCCTGTAGGAGCTTTGCTAATAGAGTTTGGCATGCCGGGAGTTGATTTTGCCCCACCAGATTGTGGTGGGCCTAATCAAACTCCTGCCATGAAAAACCTACCGGGTGAACCTAGCTCAGGCGGGCGGGGAAGAGCTCCTGCAGCCCTGAAGAAATCCCGCCTAACCATGATAGACTGGATACCACTGGTTAAGCAAATACTAGTACACAAATACTCTTTCCCAAGCATATGCTTTATTTACATACCATTGTTTGCATACACAATTGAGACAAATGACTCTCAGTATTTTGGAACTGTATGAATATACATGGAGCTCTCAATGTGTTATTTTACCTTTAGTTTAAAGAATTTGCCTATTGTAGGATTGAAGGGACAAAAAAAGTAAGTTAAATGTTTTGGTCATTTCTTTACAAACGATAGGTTGAATCTATTTTATCACACTGCCAAACAATATTAATATATAATAAATAGGACACATGCTATTACATGTATTTTTGGGAGAATTGACACATTTTCCTTTCAACAGAATTGACCCCACTACAGTCTAAAAACATTCATTTACGTAGAATTGTGTATCATATCACTCCATGTATAAACTGCTTCTCTGCAAGTGCCGTGAGCTGAATCCATTCCCAGCCTGCTGTTTCTGTCGCTTCATCTTTGCACGGTGAAACGACACCGCTACGATGTTAAAAACAACAAAGGAGATGAACTGCAGGGCACCGAGCACGAAGAAGTAGAAGTCCAGGTGCCCGTGGTTGATGTTCCCATGGTCGACATCTTTGACCCACTTGAACTTCTTGACGAGTGCAAGAAGCCCAGAGCCGAGGAGCGAGCCCATCCCGGACGTGAAGAAGAAGAGACCCATGATGATGGAGTGCATGGAACGTGGAGCTGCCGCATACGCAAACTCCAGGCCTGGATGTGCAAACAATATACATGTACTTGTAATTTTTCCTAATACATATGCAATGACAATTACAGTTCTTGAAATTCTTCTTTTTTCATTCCAGTCTAGCTGACTGCTGCCCACCCCTGAGACAGGGAAGCCGGCAGCAGAATAATCAAAGCCCGGACATGTATGTATGTATATTTAACTTTTCTAGTCTGGGTGCCATCCTCTGTATTTTCTGCTGGCAGAAACTACAAAGGATAGCACCCAGGCTACAATTTATCAGAAATTCAACCTGGACTTCAGGAACATTCATTTTCTACAAATACTCAAACCTCTATCCCTGCCCTTCTGCAACCTTATCAAAAATATGGAGCCTTTATTTTTCTCTTGCCTGGTCACATAATAGCTATTACTAACAATCCAGGCTTTTGTATGCTGCTGCATATGTAAATTATTGTCCATAATACCAAGACTGAACTTAAGCTTGCAAAAAAGTTGTTTATGTTGCTTTGAGTTCAATGGATGGAAGAAGACGACACATGTAGAAATGATAGCTAAGATTCACAAAATATAGCTCATAAAGTACAGGAACACGTACCAGCTACACTTGCAAACACCTCGCTGGCCCCTATGAGGCAGTACTGAGGAATCTGCCACCAGATCCACAGGTCTGCGGCCTCGTACGATGTGTTACTGATGGTCTGGTTCATGGTCTGGTTACTCTGGACCAGCTGCAGTCTGGAACAGGGGAAAATACACTGTCAGGTTCTTCTCCAACTGCTGCACAATTCATACTAACTTTGCACTTTCCTCCCTTGGGAATAGAGCTATGTAATAGTACCTGCATCTTTAAAATTGTTTAGCTCAGTACAATGTACTTTCACTCAGGTAGACTTCTCATTTTCTACACTTCAAAATCCATCATTCTCTTTTACGAGTTTCTTCTGGCCATTTTTACTCAAAACATTCTCTGTTGGTTTGATAATACTAAACTATTAGTACAGTCAAACCTGTACTAGCGGTCACCTTGGCATTGCGGTCACCCGGCCATAGCGGTCGGTTTTTGCCGGTCCCTTGAATTTTTTCCATTGACGTAAGCATTAAGAATCGCGTATATAGCCGTCACTGTTCAACGCGGTCAGCGGTCACCCCATTCCGGTCCCGCCGGCTGTCAACATCGCCGATAGCGGTCACGGCTGGCCGGCTGTTACCCGCTAAGCACCACGTACGTAACACCACCCGTGCACCCGACCTCGGCCTACGGCCGTTAGGACGTTCAATCAAGCCTTGTGATAATTTTGTGGCCGCTACATTATTAAAATGTGAACGGAAATTAGACTCCAGATGTGTATGAAATAAAGGAAAACTTGATTTTGACACGAAATTTTTGCGGTCGCTCGTGTTGACGTCTTTGATATCTGAAACACCATGTCGTGCGTGCCGCGGTGCTTTCAGTGGACTCGGCGAAGATTGCGGCAATCATCCTTACAAAAAACTTACGAATATCCATATTTGATTTTTCGATTCCTTGAAAAGCATAAATATGTGGCCAACTTCCCTTTTTCACGGGCATAATTCAAGAAATTTGGGCTGAGAAAATGCGTTTCGTGAATTTTCAAAATGGCGCAGGCAGCTCGCAACAATCAGGTCAATTGGGGTCATCGGAAGACTCCATTGGTTTGGAGGTAGATGTACCGACTTTTATTAAATTTTATAGCATCGAATGGCGTGATTACATTACAAAAATATTTGGAATACATTATTAAAACTTATTTCCATCGTAAACTTAAGTCTGTAGTGAATATTCTACAAAATATGTAAGCCTGAAAGGAGCACTATTTTTGTTGACCACCACATTGGCATAATGGCAGAGGCAGACAACCCACGCCGGAAGAAACCCAAGCCGTAAACAAAGGAAAGTTTTCGCTACGTTTTCATGTTCAAAAATGACCAAAAAACGGAACATAAACGGCAACAGATGAACAATTATTTTACTGTTAACTAAATGGACAGCATCTTGGTACAAAAAAATATTGTTTACATGGTTGGAATTCGTTGTGGCGATGTCGGTCATGCGAAGCACTCACCAAAGAACAAAAACGTGGCGATGTCATTCTCTTCCACTTTTCGACTTACGGTACTAGTAACGTGGCGATTGCGGAGAAACGATGGCAAAAGCGGAAAGACAGACGTCGAACTTATTCCACAAGGTGGATGTGATTCAACTGACAGCGAGTGAGAAGGAATTATCGGTCGAAGGAGCTTAGATTAAAGGAGTTTGCAGTCGGAAGAAACATGGCTTGGAGTCGACAGAAACTTTGTTGCTTGAGTTTCAAGTTTTCTGTAGGTAACATCGATGTTACACGTACACAAGAACAGTAAATGGCAACCAGTGATTTTGTATATTTTAGTGGGAAGGTTTCATAGTCCCAGCAGATCAACTGAGTATCATGTCGAGTGCATGCAGTTTTGATATATAATTTTTTTTCAAGCCCACAACTAAAGCAAAAGAACAACAATTGAATTATAACATGTAATGTTACATTTGAAAAGAGACTTACCTGTGCAATGAATGTTTTCATATGTTTGAGAATAAAGACATATACATCTTTGTTCAATGGTACTGAAAGCATGTGTCACTTTGGGGGGGGGTGCGGGGGCAACTAACCGCCATTTCTCTATAGTGGTCACCTGGCCATAGTGGTCAATTTTGGCCAGTCCCTTGAGTGACCACTATAGACAGGTTTGACTGTAATTGACTAACCTGTAAGTCTCCAGCCCACCAGCACACATGACTGCACAGAAGCCAAAGAACATGCCCAGACTTATCCGCTTTAGGACGGAGAAGTGGCAGCCGCGCCGGTCCATCCACGGGTAGACCAGGCGGTCCATCACAGGAATCAGGATCAGCAAGAGCAGAGCGTCAAACAGCGTCAGCCAGGCTGCTGGCATCTGAACAGACATGTAACATCATACAGTAAATTCAGTAAAGTTCATAGTAATCATACCACTTAAATTCATTCATATTAGCTGTTAGCTGTAGAAACTGTTACTGTAGTAGTAACAAACTTGTTCACTTCTTTAAGATTACTTTTCTCCAATTACCAAATACAAATTAGTTTCAAACAGTTTGATTTTTGTTGAAGAAAACCCAAGTTGCAATAACAAACTGTATCATCAAGCAATGTTCCATAAAGGATTTCATAACTACTGTAATTGATTTACTGGTAGTTCACTGGAACTTAATTTCACGGTAGGGGGGAAACCATTTGCTGTGTTTTTAGTTTGTGCTTGAAGTAACACAATGCAAGCAAAGGCATATGCTGATGACAACAAATGCAAAACCTCTGTGAATTTTTCAGGATTCATACAGTATGACAACATATCACAAGCAGTTCAGTTTGGACTCACTTGCATATTGGGTGCTGTTGCATTGTTGTGTGTGGCTACAGTCAGTCCTGTGTTGTTGTTCTTGACTGTTTTATTGAAGGGTGGGATCCGCATGTGAAGTCCTTGGAGCTGGAAGGTTGTCTGCATCTGAAGGGATACAGATTAACAGATATAACTTTGTTACATGAGTATGCACCTTCAATCATGATAACACATACTGGCAAAGTATGAAAATATTTGCTTCTACCTCTTTTCAAATGTATTTTTTTCCAAGTCATGGTGACAGGTTCAAAACTGGTCACCGTGTTTGCTGTTACACGGTCTCTGTGTCTACATGACAAATAGGGGTACAATGTACATGTATACAATAAAATCATAATTATCACAATATACCTGGAAGTACACCATCCAATATGGTATTAGCACTATGAAGACAGGCAGGATTTTTCCGAGAGATTTGACATCCTCGACATTGGATTCGTGGAAGCTGCCTCCATACCGGACTTTTGCCATGTCCAGCCATGTAGGGTTAGGTAAGGGGTCCACCACTGTGTCAATGTCACTGTCAAGGAGGAAATCACAACAAGAATTAGTGGTATTACAGTATATGATCTTTCCTATAGTTTGTATTTTATTACATATTGGATATTTAGCAATTTATTATCCTGTATCATCATTCATATATTGAGGAGAATTGCTAACATCTTTTCTTCTTTTTTGATACTATAACTGTCAGTATTAACCAAACAATCATAAGACCACCTTCTCTTTCAAAAGTATCATATGAAAATAAATGACCCTACTGGTATTACTGATACTGATACAGAAAAGCACATGTACATTTTCCCACCTTGGTTGGCTGTAGTTTCTTTTCCGCCGCCTCCTAGACCTGCAAGCCTCCATGATGATTCGGAACACGTTAGTCAGCACGCTCCCGGACGGCGCCCTGCACACATACGCGGGCTGTCCCAACACGAACATGATCAGCGCTGCACCCAGCGACACGGCGGGAATCAGGAAACCGAAGAAGAACCCCATGTTCTGTTGGATGAAGGCCACTGCACCGAGAGACAGTAGCACACCGGCATTGATCGACCAATAGAACCAGTTGAAGAACATGCGCATCACTTCTGGCCCCTCGTCTTTCACCTGGCATACAAAAAAGATTAAAAATTTACAAGCACTAAAGCAGTATGAACGTGGTCAACGGAGACATCTTTTAGATCCACATTATAACATTGATATAAATTATACATTACAACATTAGGTTGGTAAGTTTTATATTACCTATTCAAGTTTACGTATTCAAGGATGAAGTAAGTGGTAGCAAAAATTGCATTGCCAATGTCACATTACTGTAGTTTTGGCCTCGTATGCTTTATTTCTGGGATAATATTAATCTGCACTTCAACATTTGTATGTATACAATTTCAACGCAAATTTTTATCGTTATACATTTTGTATTTCTATAATTTTATTTTTATCTTAATTGTTATCTCTGTCTAAATATAAGTCCTTAGATCAATGCTTACCTGATCAGCCCCAAATGGTGCAATATTTGCTTTCACTGACCCCGTTCCGATGGCGATGACAGCTATGATCGGGTAGATGACAGAGTCGCAGTATTGCTCCTGATCACTTGTCGTGTGTCTTGTATGGTTTTCCGCTCCACATAGCTTCCCCCTCATCCGTTCATGTCCCAGCATGGGCAGAAACATGATGCCCAGAATGTACACAACAAAGCTGATCACGATCGTTCGGAACCTTCCCAGTACAGTGTCCGCCAGCCACCCTCCGAACACGCACATTAAGTACGACAGGCCCATGAAAATAAACAGGGCGTTAGCAGCATTGTACGACGTCCACAAAAAATCTCCGCGGTTCAGGAAAAGGACGAGATTGGCCGTGATACCGTAGAAAGCTATTCTTTCGAAGGTTTCGGCAAGCAGGATGGCAGCACAGGCCCACTTGTATTTGCTGTTGTGTGGTCTGTATGAGCCCCTTTTCTGGGGTGACAACAGCGGCGTTGTCTCTTCTTGTTCCTCCTCCGTCATCTTGTATTGGCTGCTCTTCACTTACTACTTTCTTAGCAACACGGTTAAGATTTTTGACTAGCTATTCAAAGTTTTCGTACGTTCTCTAGATCAACCATGGCTTTGTAGCAAACAGATCTACCGCAGATCTAACTATATTCTGGAGAATTCACCAAAACAACAGAAAAACGTGTTACGCCATGGCTGAAAAAACAACAAAGAACCGAGCTTACGCAACCCCGTGCTTTGTGTTTCAAACGTCAAGTCGTAAGACCGCGAACGCCAAGGAAGACAACAATATCGATTCTCAACTCTCTCTGTGATACTGCGGTTGTGACAGGCTCGTGACGGGAAGTAGCCAAGCGAAGAAAAATGGAGAAGAGAAACGCGGAAGTGGTACCCTAGTTTTCGTGCCAGGCCGCCGCCATGTTGTTGTCATATGACTAGGTCAGGTCACGTGGTGGGTATCTTCCAAGCAGATGTCGGGCTGAAGAGAGTTGTAACGTATTCGTGGAGCGGGAAATGCTTGATTAATCATCGCTTTTGCCGGCCGCCCAACATCCAGCCGGCCCCCGGGTGGCGGACTATGTAGGGAGCCCCCCGGAGCTTGGGTTACATAGGCTAGACAGATATGGGGAAAAATTGAAAATATTAGACTAGGCTCTAGGCTCTTCCCTTTGGACTACGGGGTAGTCAAGTAGATAATATCGATCTGTTATGTACCCCGTAGCCCAAAGTTCATTTGTTCTTGGTCGAACAGGTTGACCGTTCACAGGCGCCACCTAGCAGAAGTTAGCAAAACTACAGTGTTAACTTCCTCATAAGGTGCACAAGGCTAGGCACTCGTGCAATACCGTGTGCCTCTTTCGAGTCGTTGGCGTGTCAGATTGCTGTTTTATCCTCAGCGGCCGGGTAGGTGTACATTGCCCAACTTTTCCAACACAACAGCTGACATAAATAATTTTGTTTCAGAGTGTTAGGTGGTACTGTTGCTGAGAGGGCGTGGTTATAGAAATTACGATGTCGTGTGCCACCTTTGAGCCCCCCTCCCCCTTTAGTCCAAATCAAATTTCACGATTGCACGTTCCGTCTTGTAACTCATAACTCATCATAGTAACATTACATGTATCATATGACGACAGTATCGAACTTCATCATCATAGTGTCGTTAAACTGATTGCTTTTTGTAATAGCTTGAGGTAAAAGTCCATTGTTACGTTTGTTTTTGTAACCTCCTTTAGGTCACAAAAAAGTAAACACGACCTTAATTAAGGTTATCACTGATCAGCTGAGACGAGACCGAATACTAGAACTTGTCTTCGATGAGTTCAGGATACCAGTGAGAAACTCATAACGTTAACGTTACATGTATAACGGAGGGGGCCCCGAGTTCGCCACTTTTTAACATAAATCACACATTTCAAAGGAAAATTCCATGAACCTCTTGATGATATATGGCCATGTCGAAAGAGTTTTTGTTAGACTTTTTACATACGTGTTACCATGGTGATTGATCGAACGTTGAGGTCAAGGGTCAACCTTCTACTTTGCGACGTAACTAGGGCGGTAGTTCCAAGGGTGTACCCCGAGTTCGCCACTTTTTATTTACATGTATGTCACCCTTCCGGAGTGTACAACGAAGACTTTGATTTGTTCACAGGCCACCATGGCATTCGGGGGAGAGGGAACTGAGCAACAGAAGGAGAGATTCTCACTTCTGCTTTTAGACCCAGGTAAGACTGTAAATTCATTCAGATCTTCCACTCTGTAAAAGTCAAGAATTTGCAGCATCTTTTAGTTTGCTGTGTAACACAATGGATTAGAATTGGGCCGATATCTATAGTACATTGTACATAATAAAATTAGTTGTTGTGTTTATTGTTTTGTTTAGGTGAGATCTACTTTGAAGACTTTGGTGTGTTCTACTACACACATGGCCTTCCCGAGGAGGAGGCAATACGCAGGAAAACGCGAGGACGGATCAAGATGTGTTCCAAGTCCCTCGTGTTTGACCCCCAGGATGTCATGTTACCCATGCTGAAGTTCCCTCTGCGCAGCTGCACAAAGATCGAGAAGTGGCAGGGACCGGTCACGTCTAGAATCGACGCCACGGGAAATGTCATCATGATTGAGTCGTCTCAAGTGTACCAGATGAAGGAAGGAAACGTGATCGCGCCGTACGTCTTCAAGAAGAAGATGGAAAAGTACCTGTTTTCTCTCAACTTTGTGATGATCGAGGATGTTCTGCCACAGATGCAGCAGTTGTTGAGAGCATCCACGCTGACAGCTGCCGACCAGAACTCGATGATCGCCGCAATCGTACAGTCTCGCCAAGCGCGTGTCCCCTTCAACACCAGTTGGCTGGAAACCTTGTACGAAAAGATTGTCGTGGAAATGGTTGGGGATAAGATCGACCCGCTTGTCGTGAACCCCGGACGCATCATGATCACGTCGTCGCGACTGTACTTCCAGCCGTTCAACAACATCGATCCGTATCCCGTTCTGAAGATCAAACTGTCAGACATCAAGAGGATCGTGAAACGACGTTTCCTGCTCCGCCATGTTGGAGTGGAGATCTTCTGTAGCGAGGACGGTCTGAAGTCTGACCTGTTCCTGACGCTGAAGGACCAGGCGCTACGAGACCAGTTATACAACAGCATCGTCAGCCAATCAGATGTCTCGCTCGTGGAAACCGGGCAGGAAAACGCGACGCTACGCTGGCAGAGTGGCGTCATGTCGAACTTTGACTATCTCATGTACCTGAACAATACCGCAGACCGAAGTTTCAATGACCTGACGCAATATCCCGTGTTTCCCTGGGTTGTAGCGGACTACACCAGCTCAAGTCTAGACCTGTCTCGACCAGAAACCTACCGCGACCTGAGTAAGCCCATCGGAGCCCTGAACCCCGAGCGTCTCCACAGGACGTTGGAGCGCTACCACGACATGCCTGAACCCAAGTTCATGTACGGTAGCCATTATTCCACGCCAGGATACGTGGTGTACTACCTGGTACGGGTGGCGCCAGAGTACATGCTGTGTCTGCAGAACGGAAGGTTCGACCAACCGGATCGGATGTTCCTCAGCATCCAGGAGACCTGGAAGAACGTCTTGACGGGAGCTTCTGACGTCAAGGAGCTGATCCCAGAATTCTACCAGACTTCAGGAAAATTTCTGGTGAGGACTCTTGTCATTTAGTCTGCAGGGTGCCCGAGCAGACGTAAACTATCTAGGATTGTTCCCAGGATATCGTAGCATATCTCTACAAGTAAAGGCATTGACTTGACTTGATATCTCAATAATTAAAAAGTAAATAAACAATGATAGATAATGTACAGAATACAACAAGTATTCTACAATTGTAGAATTTGTAGAATTGTGTAGTAATGCTAGTATGTGCTGTTTCGGTGACGTGCTATCAAAACCACAGTTATGATATTAATAAGGGTGCCTACAGTAAGAACAGAAATCGTCTTCTATGTGTAAGATTGATTTTTCAATGGTCCTTTGTTCTGTTGTCAGGTGAATGCCCAACACTTGAAGCTGGGCACCAGACAGGATGGGACAAAAGCTGAGGATGTGGAGCTGCCACCGTGGGCCGCAGACGCTGATGACTTCGTACAGAAGTCCCGGGAGGCGCTCGAGAGTGACTACGTCTCCAGCCACTTACACGAGTGGATCGACCTCATTTTTGGGTGAGTACTCTTTGGAATGTGAAAGAAAATCTCCCTATCATTTTGACTGCCTGTGTTTCCTTTAATTCAAAGTAGAAAAATGATAAATAATAAAAATAATATGAAAGAATTTTTCTTTCCTATCTCTAGATGATAATTTAATTGGGAAAAGACTTTCGTACCTGTCACTGTAGCTAACTTTAGTCTTGAGATATAATTGATGTGTAAAGGGTTGCCAACTCTAATTTGTAATATAATGTACACCATTAGGTACAAGCAACGAGGAGAGGCGTCAGAGAACGCATACAACGTCTTCTACCACCTGACGTATGAAGGGGCTGTTGACCTGGACAGCATCGCCGACCCAAACGAGCGTCTCTCGTTAGAAGCACAGATCATGGAGTTCGGACAGACGCCAAAGCAACTCTTCCACAGTCCACACCCTCAAAGGTTCAAGCAGAGTCCCAGTACAGCAGACTCTGTTCTGATTGGATCAGCGGGTGAATCAGAAACCCCTGGAGCGGATGCCGCAAATTCAAGTTCTGGAGTTCCAACGACAAAGTCCTGCCATCTTGCTCCGCTGTGGGAGGGTAGAGACGGTCTGAAGCCTGTGTACGAACACAAACTACACAAGGACACAGTTACATCAGTACAGCTGGCCCCCAGTGGGAAAACCATATTCTCTGTCTCACAGGTGGGTTACTGCTTTTAAGGCTAGACATGGAGCAAAAAAAGTGTTCCATTGAATCAATTGTATTTTAGCTCTTTGTCCCAAAAGTTTTTATTCTTAAAAGCCTTAAAGTTCTTTCTAAGTATCTGAAATAACTGAAGTATCTGTTCTAATTAGAATGCTTTCAGTTAGATTTTGTATAGTGCAGTACCATTTGTTTGTGAAATTAAGTATCTCTAAGCTCTTTATTAAGTATGCACAAATTTGATTGTTTCCAGGACTCCCTGATGAAGATGTACTCTCTGGAAGAACAGCGTCAACAGAGGAGCATCTCTATCTCCAACATGGCGCTGTCCTCGTGCCAAGTCATGGCCGACTCCAAGACGCTGATTATCGGATCCTGGGACAACAATGTCTACATTTACTCAGTGGAGTACGGGCACATCCTGGACACCGTACTCGCACACGACGACGCGGTATCGTGTATCCAGTACCAGGACAGTCTCCTAGTCTCAGCGTCGTGGGACTCGACCGTCAAACTGTGGGAGTGTAAAATTGGGGGCGGAGCCAAGAAACAGCAGCTGCAGCTGTTGGCGGAGTTGGACCACGACTCCGGGGTGGTGTGCGCGTGCGTGGACGCGGAGAACACGCGCGTGGCGAGCGGGACGGAAGACGGCACGCTGTACATCTGGAGCGTGGAGTCACAGTACGTGCTGTCACGACACACGCTTCACACAGGTAAGAATTAATCAGCTTCTTCAGTCTGTGCCCAAACTAGAACTTACAACATTTTAGAACATTGAGCACTTTTTTGTATTCTATGAATATTGCTCAGGCAATGTGAATACTTAAGGTTGATTCCACTTATTATAAAAACAGTTGACCAAACTGTGTACTAGTACATGTATCTTGTACCTTGTATTGACTTTTTGATTGTTCCGATCGTACAAAGGGGTCTCGGTTTCCTGGAAAATGAAATTTTCAAGATCACTGAGTACACGTACATGTAGTCACTGAGTGCTGGTAAATGTCTGTTGGACAGTCTATCAATTTTTTGCAGGGTCCATCCATGCAATCAGTTTCAGTGCGGAGGGTCAGCGTGTGCTAACGTGTGGTGCTGACCACTACCTTCGTGTGCTGGACGTCACCACAGGCACAGAAGTGTGCGCCAAGGACCTGGAAGAACCTCTCAGGTAATCATTCAGTTTCTTTGCCTGCAGTGCCTGTGATCTTTTTGTTATAACTCAAGAAGATATGAATGGAATCTAATGATATTTGGTGTGTAGATACGGTGGCCTCCAAATGATTAGATTTTGGGCCCCCTGGCAACTTTCCTTGGTACTGCAGCAGAAGTTTTGGTTTCCATATCTCATGATCTAGACATGCTAGGGTCACAAATTTTGCATGGAAGATAGCTTGTGCTTGGGATGAAGTGTCATTACTACAAATGTAGTAGTTTAGTTCCCCTAAATAAATCTGCGCTCTGTGTTTGTAGGTGTATGTTCTGGGACGGTGAAACAGTGATTGTTGGAGGTGAGTCTGGAAACGTGCTGGTCTGGGACCTGGTCAATCTTCAGCCAATAGCGACGGTCTGTGGCCACACCGGCTCCGTCACGTGTATCCACGTGAGCGAAGACGGCCGTACCATTGTCACTGGAGGGGAGGACAGGAAGGTTTGTCTGTGGAAGCTTTCGTGATGACTCCCCCTCTAAGTATTTAGAAGACTCCTAATTCCCATGTGCCATCCAATGAGAGTGTACTGTTTTGGAATGTACCATTTCAAAATGGATGATAGCCTTCATTAGGTGACCTAAAAATCATATCCTATTAAGTGCCAGAGCAATTTCAAAAATTTTCATTTTCAGAATTTGGCTCAAAGTGTATACATAATAGTTGGGACCAAGAGAAATAGAAGACAGTGATATTGATGCCCTAGAATTGTTGTTTAAAAATAATTGTTTGCTGATGTCCCAAATTTTGCACCATTAAGCTCTATATTACATGTATATTTATAATTTTGCACCATTTCAATATCATTATCAGCAATAATTAATAAAATGTTTTTGTACTTATTACTAAATGTCTTGTAATTGTTACAGAATGTGATGTGCAAATATGGTGGAAAGTTTAATATGCGTGGTACTTTATCTATAATGGATGATTCCTGGACTTTTTAAAGTTTTGGGTCAATTATTTCTGTGGGCGGTAAAGGCAATAAGACCAGATATTTTACATTAAGAAATTTATTGGACAAATTGTTGCATATGAAACGGTGTGGAATAAAGTTTTACATGTACTTTCTAAGGAAAAAATGTGTTTTTCGTGTTTCATTTCATGTCAAACTCAAGTTGGGAAGGTTGCCGTTCTATTTTCTTTTATTTTTGTCAAACATTTTCACATGATATTCTCTAATTTGAGGTACTAGTAATACATTAAATGTCCAGTTGATTTTCATATCTATAATAGCCTAATAGACAATGTATAATAACACAGTAATCTGTAAACATTAAGCTATTCTTTGGGATCATGCAAGCAAACTATGAGTACTTTTCTTGTACTGGTAGATGTTTCGCATTACACTGGTATATATCAAACTAGTAATATATTTGAATCTAATAGCTATATATATCTATATCAAGACCTTTCTTCTACACTACTTTGACACAAAGTTGTAATACAATATGATATACATGTATAAACAATAGTGTTATTTGATATCTCAAACATTTCTACATCAATGTGCCTATCAAAAGCAGAGGAATACTCTATTCATGAGTAGACAATATTAAGGTATACTTAACAGATAAAAATGTCTACATAATGCCATCTGCTCTACCAGAAACTATCCAGCACATTTCTCATGCCTACATTCTAGCAAAACTAAATATATAGCTTAGGCACACCCATTAAAAATCACACTTCTTAACTAGTGATGCAAACAATTAAGCATCTCAGACAGAGTCTAAAAATAGGTAGGTAATTATGTTAAAAAATGTATCATTTTTGTTACATTTCCCCCTTTCAGTAGGACAGTTTCCTGTCTAATCTTCCTTTTCTTCTTCACCTATTCCTTCGTCTGATGACCTCTCCTCTTTTTTCTCCTTCACTGGATCATCAAAGACATCATCCTGCTCACCCCCTTCTGGTGCTTTGGACTCTCCCGCATCACCTTCCTCAGAGTGAGGCTCGTTGTCTCTTGCTAACTTCTGCTTCTGGATTTCAAACTCCCGCTCAGTAAAGGCCCCCAAGCCCCTGTGCGTGATGAGAGGGTTGGCGGCTGGCTGGATGGGTCTGGCCAGTCCCGGGGCCTTCCACCGTTTCCTCTCCTCTACTGCAGCCATCATCTTCTTGTGTTTGTCCTCAGCATCTTGTAGTTTCTGGGAGGCTTCCTGAAATCAGAATGAAAACAATGTAGACATTGTAAAACAGCATTAACTTGATAGCAAATCTACAAAATTTTGGGCTGACTTTTTATTGAATATCCAGTCCACATAATGAAATAATTTTCAATCAAACGTCCATATGGATGTGATGTAAAACAAAGCGATTAAAAAAGGAAACTGAAAAGGAAAGGACACAGTTTTACCTTTAATTGCTGATCTGCCGCTTCTCTCTCTTGTTGAAGCTGTTCCAGCCTCTGCTGCTCCTCCCTGCGCTGCTCTTCCAGCTCTTGGCGCTGCTTCCGCTCATCTTCCAGCAGTTTGTCCTGATCTGCCTTCAACTTTTCCAGCTGCTCTCTCCGCTCAAACTCCTCCTGGAGCAGTCTTGCGAAGACAGTGGAGAAAAAATCTTTTAGTACAATCACTTTATATTTCTTGGCATCCGAATTTATAGGAGATAGCAGCTGGAAGATAGTCGAACTCCTCCTGGAGTAGTCTTGTGAAGACAGTAGAGAAAAATCTTATAGTACTGAGCCACATCATATTTCATAGCATTCAAATTTACTGTGATTTCAAAGGAGACAGCAGCTGGGAGATTTTATATACCATATGGTGTGGAAAAGACTTTAAGATGCATACTTTGCCTGCAGGGCCCTGACGATCTCTTCATCTTTCTTGGCCTGTCTTTCCTCCTCCAGGAGTTTCTCCAGTTGCCTGTTCATCTCCTCCAACTCTTTCCTCATCTGTTCCTCCTCCTCGCGCAGAACTGTCTCCAGGGCCAACTTCGCTTCAGCTTCTGAACGTGCCTAGTACGAGATACTGAACAGTTAGCATATACATTACTAGTACATGTAACGTTACATTCTTATGTACTGTACTAGATAGTATACATCTGTTATACAACATTAATATCTATATAATGTTTAGAAGAAAGAAATGATTTCAAATGATAAGTATACCTGTTTCTCTTCTTCCAGGTTCTTCCTCTGTTCCTCCATAAGTTCGCTGTCTTTCCTTTTCCTCTCCTGCTCCTTCTTCTCTTCCGTCCGTCTCTTCTCTCGCATTTCTCTCCTCTGTTGCGCATGTTTCTTGACCAGGGAGGAGCAGCCAGTTTTGGAGAGATCAATCACGCTCTGAATGGCTAGATACAATGAAAAAAAGAAACAACTTTGTTTAGGGTTAAAACTTTTTTTATCAAACACAAAGAAGTTATCTCACCTAGAGCTTTCAACCAGTCACTCTGGTCTTCCTCAGTAGACTCTAGGTAATAGAACTCTATTAAAACATGTAGCAACACAGATGAACTTTCATGATAGTACATGTAGTACAAAAAGTACTACAAAAAGATTCTTAACCCTTAGTGGCAAAATGGTTAAAAGCATAGTGGGATGATTACCAGTTATCCATGCCTGTCTGCTCCTCAGATCCGGGGCAGCCATCTCGTACGACATGTTTGCACTGGCTGTCAGCAACAGTCGCTGCTTACCCTCACGAGACTTCTCTCCTAGCAGCTGCAACCAAAAAAAAAAGCTGTAGGGGCATCTTCGAAATCATGTCAAGCTAGCTACATGCTCTAAAACATGTGTGTAATATATCACAAGATCATAAATCACCAGTTATAGTTACATATAGTTTGTTGAAACCTTTTGGCATTACACAACTTGTAAATACAAATGTTGAGAATGGCATTTTGAGTGCTTACCTGAAGACATGTATGCTTTAGATACTAGTAAGCTGTTGACAGGGAAGAGAAAAACAGGAGGCAAAAGGAAAAAGATGAGCAAGGACATAAGTGATGGCAACAGGTTTTTCATTTGAAAGAATGAAGGTAGAAAACACTGCATAGTGATGAATCCATGGGTTATTGCAGCTGTAGAAATGGAACTAGCTTATCCATGGGGTGTACTAGTAATTGGATTATGGTCACTTTTACTTAGGTGCCAACATATGGCTTCAATCTAAAGAAACAGTGCAATTGGAGGCAACAGAACTTTTTCTTCTTCTGAAATATCTAAAAATTTATAGAAACAGCAGGTGAGGGCCAAAATGTATTAAAATTTTGTATGATGTGTGATAAAAATGTGCAGTTGAGCTATGACAGGCAGTGATTTGTCAGATAGAAGAAAAGTGGAAATGTCCCTACCTGGACCTTCCATGGAGTAGGGTTGACAATCTCGCCCTTCTTGTCCCTCTGGTCCTTGCCGGTGTAGTAAACCAGACTGCAGGGCTTCAGCACAAACCAACGCTCCTTCCAATTGGTCCTTACATGGCCCTTCTTGGACATCAAGCCCTGTGATTGGTCAACAAGTTAATCTCTTTACTTTTCCTAAGACAGCATAAACAACACTTCGTGCTACTGCTTTTATCACAGAAAAGAAACCGAAGTACATGTACTTAATACAATGCCAAAATGTTGGAAGGTAACTTTCATTCAGTTGCATAGGAAGGGCTCTAATACCCATTGAATTACCACCCTGATGAAACTATTTAGGGTAACACACACATACCCCCAGTATGTAATACTAAAGCAGAAAACATCGAATATCGAAGCTACATTTAATTTCTCCTGAGTTCACATATGTACCTCTTTCACAACATCAAGCACTAGTTCCTTGTGTAGCTCTGCCACAGCTTCGCACACAGTCTCAGGCTCTATCCCCTCCGAGTACTTTGTCTCTATGCATGCGATGAGCTGCCACACAGACATGGTGGGGAGAGAGTTGGAGAAGACGTGGAAGTCTGCCTCCATCCACTGACCGCCCATGGCACCAACTAGCTTTTGTAGGAGGAACTGCACCTCCTCTATGTCCATCACCAGTGGGTATCTGTGTAGGAGTTAGCAAGTATGTGGGTAAAGGTCAACTTAATATTGGTACCAGATGATTGTGGGAGTTAGTATGGGGGCCAGAGAAGTGGATTTCAGACAAGTCTAAAACCAAGGTTATAATTTATAAACATGATGTGTTCCTTGACGATGGTATTTCATCAAGTTGAAATTAAAACAGTCCTCAAATATTCTTGAGCTAAAACTTTAAGGCTCAGGAGCCTTCAAGATTTATGATGGAGCAAAAGTCATCCAGTCTTTTGTGTTGCACATCTTCTATCAGCACATTTGTTAAGCCTTCAATGTCTAACCTTGGTGCTGGACTTGCTGAAATCAACTTCATTCCATAATGTTATATGCATAACCTTCACTTGGCAGCTCTCTTCCTTTAGACTTGATTTGAAAAAAAAAATCAGATTTATTTATTTATTTTGATTTTGGGTGTAATTCTGTCAATTTGTGAAGCTGAATGTGTGAGAAAGCAGGAAAGTGTATAATGTATGTGGATGTACATACATCTCTTCATATTTACTCACATTCAAGTTTCTAACATCTATTACAATAATGGGAGATTTGATAGCAAACATATAAACTTGAGTGGGGTCAGCAGTTTTTGTTGTCCTGTCAGATGTCTCACCTGTCGGGCTCGGCCAGTCTGTTGAACATTTGCCACACCTGGAAGGCGTGTTCGTCAGTCAGAGTCTTCTCCCGACGATCCTTACTCAGGTGCTTCCCACAGCAGATCTGCCAGCACACCTGAAATTCAAAACCAAACTGGATTTGTCATAGAGTTAAACCAATAACATTTGTACTATCTAAATTGTAAATTAAACATATTACTGATCCTAAGACCATGCATAATTAAAAAATCCTTTGACACAGTATTTCATTACCAATTTCTTTCAAAATAAAAATGAGCCTTTTCAATGAAACCACAGCTCTAGCTCCCTGGATGGAATTTTGCTACCATGAGTGTGAGCCTTTTTAGCTTTTGTCAGCTCCCCAAGATCCGCTATGTACTGGGTACACTCGGGCTAGATTTTTGCTGGTAGTGACAGACATATTTTTCAACCATTCAGAAATGCAGGACATTTTACAATACAATATAATTCTTATATTACAATTCCTTGTATCTTGTCAGATTAGAGTATGTAAGTACCTGATCAAACCTGCTCCAGTCTGGAATGGAATTCTCCGACAGACCTTGGAATATGACTGTCTTGATGAAGTCTGCGTAAGCCTGGAATGTGACAGTCAGGTCACCGAAGTGTTTCTCCACATCCTCGGCAGGTGGGGTGTAGACAACAGTCCCCAAACTGTGGGTGAGAACCTAGGAAATAACGTAATATGATACACTGTGTTACAACAGTCACTTTTCTTTCCTCTTCCTCCTGGCCATTTGGAGTTTACTTCCTCTTATACTTTCACAACATACACACTGTTTAAGATCAATTTTTACATAATTTTAGGAACCAGTCTGAATATATACTGGTAGTTTGAGCTAAAAACAAATTGCCGGTTTCAAGTGGAGACTGCAACAGGCTCCCACCTGAAAATCAATAGTGATATTGATCCCTTTAACTGGTAGTTCCATGCAATTTGCTTGGAGAAAATTAACACTACCTGTATCTGTATACCTTTAACGTTACCTGAGTTTTCAAAGGTGTGAACGCAACTTAGATTCTGAGCGAATTGGTCAATGAACTGGCTCTGCTGATCTCTATATCAAATTAATCACTAATTCCCGGAAAAAGATATTGATACAGTTGAAGAGGTCATAAAATCATAAAAGTAAGACCCCGCCCCTGTTCACCCACCTTGAGTTTGGACTTCTGTACCGTGCCCTCTCTCTTCTCGTCCAGCGCATGGAAGGCGTGCCATAGGGCGTTCAACTGGTCCTCTCGGCCGTTGGAGTCGGACGGACTCGACATGTCTACACTGTCGGGGGAACTGTCACAACTTGTGGGCGGTTTTGATTTAAAGTTCTTCAACTTCTTGTCAAAGTTCTCGACGGTCCAGTTCAGCTCATGCGCGCTCCAGTTTCTGCTAGAATGGCCCAAACAAATCTTCTAAAGATCAGCAGAGATTCCCAGAGAAACAGAGCACCTATGGACAGCCGGCCGAAAGAGCTAACTTCTTTGTTCCTCAAAGCCAATTTTCCCCGGGAATTTTATAGTTGAACAACTTCCGGGTTGTGGATGATTCTGACCTACGATGACCTAAGACGAAACCATTGCAGCTAGGGGTGAACAATATAGATTTTAGCTATTTATTCCTAGAATCAACGTCAGCGTCAAGTATTTTAATTGTGCCGTTTTGATGGAATAGAATCAAAGTTTTTTGTATTAAGTTGGTTTATATGTGAATGGAACTTTCCTGTTCTTATCTGTGTGCTTTTGACTGTAAAAATTTAGCCCCCTCTTTCAATGGATTGTTCCTCCACAAGGGTACAAGACAGTAGACAGTACAGACCATTTGCACACTCGAGGCTGTATTTAGGTTTATGCTCCAAGCCACCAGAGATAGGATTAACGTTACTTGGACGACACTCGCAGATTTGCAAGCTACAGTTTTGAGCAATGCTTTAGAAATCATACCAAGCTTATAAGAAACTTGAGTGTTATATTTTTCGAAGGTTGCAAAGGCTTTCCTTTTTTGAGGGGGGGGGGTGTCTTGAATAATAGTGCTGACAAGGAGGTGCAAATATGCTGAAGTATAAAATGTACTTCAAACCAAAAACTCTGTATCAGAGACTTAACTCACTCTTCAGGAGTTGTCATGGTGAGAGTAGGGAGAAGCCTTCCTTTGATCGAATCAGGTTCATCCAAGAGAACACTGAGATCTCGACCAATCACATGACTCCTGAGATCAAGCTCCACCTCATCACTCCCCGCTGTGCATTGTGGGATAGCACTGCCGACCAGTGTCCAGTGAGCGACCCTTTCTGGGCTTTCTATTGGCCAGGGGGCCAGGTACTGACCAGGTTAGTCATATTCACATCCAATGATCCAAGAATTCTCCCACGATGAGCTATACCATGGCAAGAAACTAGTATACTGGAAATTCATGCACGTCCTTCTCAATCAGTGTTGCCCAAGGGCTAAGGAAATGGAGATGGGTACCTGACTACCTGTGCTACACATTATGTTGTGTTGGAAGGGAAGACTGTAACCAAGGCTCCTATTCTGTAACAAAATGATTGTTGTGTTACTTTTGTTGTGCACAGATATATCTTGGATCATGGCATTGTTGTGAAAGACAAGTCAGTGTTAGATGTGGGCAGTGGGTGTGGAGCCAGTGCCATTGCAGCAGCCATGACTGGAGCAAGGCGTGTACTGGCTAATGACATAGACCCAGGTATTAAAAATCACTCACTTTGTTCTTGCTCTTGTTGTCTTCTTTCAGTGTGATAGCCTAGTGCAAATCCATCCTCTTCTTGCTCACTGATCAATTGCTTGCCTGCAGAATAGACATTTGATCCCTGATACACAGTGACAAATATTCAATAACTGATCTAACATTACCTGTGATCGATCAATGTTGTATAAAGGGACAAAAGTTTAAATGGGGGCATTCTCTAGCCAAGCAATTAGCAAATCTAGACTGGAGCAAAAATGTTAAAATCTTAACTTTAGATTACTCTGAGATATCAATTACATTGTACCTTTGATTGTATGAGCAGTTGCAGCCACTGCTGTCAAGATGAATGCAAAACTCAACAGTGTCAACCTGGAGATATCTACGGACAACCTGATTGGCCAACGTCTCCACCAATGGGATGTTATATTTCTCGGTGACATGTTCTACGATGAAGAATTTGCTTCTACGATCTCTGATTGGTTGAAGACTTTGCGGCAATCAAACTCTTCCTGTCAAATATTAATAGGGGATCCTGGAAGGTTTTCATTTGAGGAACATCCAGCAAAAAGTCTTCTTCACAAAGTTGCAGAATATGAGCTAGATGAAGTTTGTAGAAGAGAAAACAATGGTTTAACACTTGGAGGTGTGTGGTCGTATGATCCATCAAGGACAACAAAGTAGTTTACTCTGTAACATTTAGTGATACAAATACACTGTACTGAAATGTGCAATACTTCTTACGTATGCGACCGTGCGAGGGGTGGTATGAAGAAAAAAATTGGTTTTGGATCATTTCATGTTGCTGATGTACTCTTGAACATGTTAATAAACACTAAGAATATAAAGCTTGCTCCTAGGATATCATAAATAGGCAATTCAATTTGGAGTCTGGAAAATGAATACTAAGGCTGCCTATCTAAAAGTTTGGACATTTAGGTATCTAATACAGAACCTGCTGGCATGATCAGCGATGGTGCTGATCTCAAGTAATTTTTTTGTCATTGCACCTTTTAAGTCATAAAAGAGAGGACTATTTAAAGTATTTTATATAGGTTTCGCACTGGTTTGCATGATACAATTTTGGACCTCTCTCTGTCTCCAGTTTATTGTCTGTTGTTCCCTGTAAACGTTCCCTGTACCTTCCAAGATTTTCAGTATGTTGTAACAGTATGCCTTTCTTGGAATACTTACTAGTATTAAAAAGCATTCTTTTGTTCTAATTCACTGATAACTTCTAATACATATTTGTGCTAAATTACTTCTGCATCCTAATGCATATGGCTCATATCCTAATGCAACTCAAACAAGAAACACACAAGAATTTTTTTCTTTCCCTTTTATTTCTCCACGTCACAAAACTGTGAAATACAGTGTAAAACTGTAGGGTATTTTACAGTCCAGTATATACAGCATGTGTGGAGGGGGGAAGGTTGGTTGTTTAGTCAAACAGTCCGAAGCCCATGTCCTCGTCGGACTCCTCTTCTGACTCTTCCTTCTTCTCTTCCTTCTTTTCTGTAAAGGAAGAAAAATAAGATTCAGTATCATACCTCTAAACAACAGAGAAACAGTTGAATACATAGAACCACCAATATCTTGTTCAGAAGTACATTTGTATATTTATAGGATGCAAGAATGGGAATTTTTCCTGAAGAAGAATAACTAAAAGATGTACACTTTCTCAGGGAAAAACATGAACCAAAAGACTGGAAGAGAATACCGCCAGTACAAGAAAATCTTGCCTGATGGAACGTCTTAGTAGGAACAACAAAAAGTAGCTAGTCAAATAATCCAAAGCCAAAATCTTCCTCTTCAGATTCGGACTCTTCAACTTTGGCTTCTTTTTCTGCTTTGTGGTGGCAGAGGTAACCAGTGACACACAGACACACACACAGATAGAAGGAAATGACTGCAAAGGTGGACAGTTAAAAGTCAAGCACTAACAAGTAGAATAAACGATGTACTATTCCAAAGGATTTTATTTGTTGAAACAGAAAGGGATGACAATCACATTCCTTCCATTGGGCCATGCAGTAGTGGAAAATTCTACCCACAGCATGCCACCATCCATTTTAGTAGCTACTAAAATACATCTACACTTTGAAACCTCTGAGGTGTTCAAACAAAACTTGACACAATGAGTGGTGTTTCGAAAAGGGTTTCTTACCTTCAGCAGCAGGGGCAGCACCACCTGCAGCTGCACCACCACCACCTGCAGCGACAGCTACACCGCCACCTGACGGCATGGACGACAGCTTGCCACGGCCTGGGGAGACAAAAATGAAGTTACGTAATTGTCAGTCTCAGTTGCCAACTTGCCACTGTTGGCAATAACAACACTGGTTTACCCATATTTAGATTTTTTTAAACCTTTCAAACAATGCATTGGCGTCAGAATACAAGGAAGTATTCTTAACAAATAACACATCTACCCTAAGTGACGATAGTCTGACAGATCTCAGGGTAGTTTATATATCAGCATCTTGAACTCAGCCGAAAGATGGTGATAAACATACTCATCACTGAACTGTCCTTTAAGAGTAACTTCGCAAACCCCTGAATGAGTGCCATTAACATTTACAATCCTACACTATATGGAGTAACTTTGCAACCCCTTGAAAGAGTGCCATCAACATTTTAAAATCTACAGTATGTGTCAAGGGCTGCGTCGCTGTACCTGCAGCCATGACTTCTTCGATGTCCTTGCCCTTGAGCTCACTGATGACCTTGTTGAGCCTCTCATCGTCAGCGTCGATGCCCACGCTGCCCAGGATCTTCTTGATGTCGCCTGCGGAGGGGTTGGCATTCCCACCCAGGACAGCCAGGAGATATGCGGCCACGTAACGCATTCTGGGGACATGTCAGAACTTACAGTTACAAAATATGCTATCTTACTCAGCTTTTAAATAATTTATACATCTACGCTCATAATTTAGCACCCCCATATCTAGATTTGTGAAACTGGTTTGAAATCGTAGTCGGAAAACGAAGTTCCCTTCAACTTCTCAAAAAAGATAACATACTAGTACTTAATTCCTACTCATTGATCAATATAGTACACGTGTGTTGGGGGGGGGGGGCGACACAGAGTTGTACAACATACAACTTACGTACTATAGTTTCAGAGTCTGAGAGCAATTGTTTCCAGGTTTAAAATAGTGTAAGCCATTGAATTATAAGCGTGACTTGGTCACCCACTGTCTATGCCCATACATTATGACAATGGCCCTTGGCAAACGTTTCGTCTGCAAAGTTGCCATGCTTGTGGTCCCATGTGTGTACATGTGATCGTACAGCGTGTAATATTCAGTTGCGTTAAAAATGCATTATACAGTTGCAACAAGCCCTAATGTTTTACCAACAGAGTCTCTGTGATTTCCACTACTAATAAAGTGTAACTTTGTCTACAGATTTCCCCTCAAAACACTTACTTTTAAGTCCTGAAGACGCGAAACGTCGTGCTCGCTACTAAAGAAATTATGGCGGAATCGCAAAAGACCGGATTCGGGGTTTCACGGGCTGACCTTCACGGGGTACGGGTCAACTGATCGCAGCACATCGAAAAAACATGATGTTGCAAAATGACGTAAAATGTACATTTCTGTATATTTATGACCATTAAATATGACAAAATAGTGTATATGATATTGATTTGCCCTTACATTTGTTTGATAGTATTTCTAAATGCGTTTGCTTAAATATTCCATATACGTTCCTGTTTTGCGTATAGTTGCTATCGAATAAATCATGGCGGACCGACTAACACAGTTGCAAGATGCGGTGCACCAGGTAACGTCCTAAGGTTGTTTTCTTGATATTTAAGGAGAGAGTCGAGATGAAAATGATATCAGCTAATTAAGGGGAGGTAATAGAAGCGATGAAATATGTAAGAGCAATGGAGAGGCTCTTGGAAATCCTTTTTAAATACCTCAAAACATGGCTTTACTGTCAAAAATATTTTTTATGTTGACCAAATATTTTTGTTTCCTTTCCTCATCAGATGGGAGAACATTTCTGTAACAGCATAGGCATTCTCCAGCAGTGTGCACCGGCCAGTAACTTCACCGACTTCGACAAGTCTGCAGGTAAAACGTTGTTATACTTCTAGCTCTTTTCTGCCGAAACCGCAACGACATCCTGTCCTTTATTTGTTTACACTTCCTAACAAAATATCTTTTGCCCTTTTTCAGCACCAGTTGACAAGGACCAAGTTGCCACTCAAGAAGGTGAAGACAATTCTTGTTTTAAAAAAAATAAATACAACGTGCGTCTTTGTAACGTCAACTCATAATACACCTAGAATGTTGAAATTTGTGTAACAATGACAGCATTCTATTTTCTCACTACTATCTAACTTGTGTATCACACATAAATTGCAAATGAAGCCACACTCATTGTTGTTTACTCTGCTTCCTTTCCAGAATACACACAGCTTTTTGCTCAGCTCATAGCAAGAACTGCCAAGGATATAGACGTGTTAATTGACTCACTACCCAATGAAGAATCTACTGCAGAGTTACAGGTAACCGTAAGACATTCTCTCATTTTGTGTTGTTAGAACTTTTTTCTTATGATCCAGAAAAATGCAAGTATTGTTTTTACACTGTGCCGTGATCCCATGGAATTTATGTGTATTCAATGAATTAACAGTTACATCTTTTGTTCCGCAGGCCCAGAGCTTACAGAGACTTGAACAGGATAACCAAGACGCGGCACGTAAACTTGAAGACGTGGTGAGGAGGGGAGAAGTCTTGTTGGAACAGATCCAAAAGGCTCTGAGTGAGATCGCGGAGACACAACTCAAGACACAGAGTTCACAGCAGCAGAAAATTCCACAAACTGTAGACAAGAAAGAACCAAAGCCATCATAGGGTTCATTATGTACTATATGTAGTTGGAATCCAATCTAGCTTCAGTCTTCTTCTCTGATGACTTCTCCACAAAATAGTCTGGCATGCTTTAGACATAAAAGGATGCTTTGGTCATAAAAATGTCTCCCACAGTACTAGAGAGGACCATGCAACTACAAATCAGTCTATTCTGATGCCAGACTATATGGTATGCTATGCTGGTACTCTTCTAAAGGAATCATTGTTGTCATTGCATAGTGGAATGGCTAAGTTCGAATGTGTAACATATTTTTGTAAGGTTAGTGCAAATCTGGTATGTGAAAGTTGCTGACAAATGTTTACTGCAAGAACTAGCCTATGTCAGCAAGTAACTTTGTTACTTATTCATAACTGTACATTTATTTGTATAAACAACTTTACACTCTTCATACCTTGTGTGCTTCTTTTCTGTACAGTAAGCTTACCAGGTCTCGCATACTCTTTTTGATAAGTGTGTTGAATTCTTTTACGTGCAGTGGTTAGATGCCCCAGGCTTACACCTGAAGCTACCCATATATTGGGCACTTGCTTGATGCCTCTTATCTGTAGTGCTGACAGACTAGAAAATAATTTACTCAAACGAGTCAAAGCGCATCTTTCATCTTGTCTCACTTATTTTACAACAACACATGAAATAATTCTGACACGCATTTGTTGGTATGGCTTTTTTATTCATTCTGACGAAATTAGGGCCATGAACAGTTTTCTATTATATGCCTCTCACTGTCACATATGTCTCACATGCACTGTCACCTTCTAACTTGAGTGCAACTACGGTGTTTTCAAGATAACAGTGAATCAGTCAACCTGGTACAGTGAATCTTGCTGTGTCATAAAATGAAAAATCTGACCTTTGTAGGACAATGTGATGATAAAAAAAACAATAGAGGGGTGGCATGGAGAGTATCTCTTTGATACAACCCTGAACATGATTTGACTGATACAAGTCGCTGTGACCAGTGGAAGCGCCTCGAACTACAGCCTTAAATGTTGAATGATGAGTTCGGTTTCATAGATGGATTTCATCATGGAACTAAGTAGCTGGTATTAATGGTATGAAAGCTGTAACAGTTTCCAAGCACCACCAGCCACAGAAATGTATGAAATGGGTCAATGTTGGACAGTGGTTGACGGTATTACTCGTGCCAACTATCTGCCTGGATTTCTGCCACAATGCAGGTATAAAACTAATGGGCTTCTACATATACTGCAGGACTTAAAAATTCTGGACGTATTAGCCAGTAATCAGCTCTGTTTAATTGGTTTGTGATATTAAACGGCATAGCTGCCAGCCTTTTCACTATGTATTCCCAATAGGTACCCCCCTCCCCATCTCAACACAACACTACATTGTAATTTGCTATTAAGTATTATAATGTACAATCACAGGTGAATCTGTGCCCTCTTTCACATCCTCTTACAATTTTCCTCCAACATACTTCCATATACACCCAACGTTCACATCATATCCCTACTTCCTAAAAATTTTATCTCCTAATTAACAATTACACCCCTCTTGTCTAATTGAAGAAGCTTAGTTGACGTTCATCTAAAGCTATGTGTCGGACAACGGTAACAAACTCAAAATGACAAGTTGATTGTTCATCGATCCCACATATATCTGTATCTTTTTTAAGCTGCATTCAAATTTTTCACAATACACATCATGGCCAGGCTATCCCTGGCAACAAATCAAGGAATGATACAAATGCTTTTAATGCCTAAGTTAGTTGTACCTTCATATTGTATATTGCATCTACAGATAGCTTATATACCAAACCTCCAATAGTCTATGGCTAGGTGCCACTCAATCGCTCTTTCTGGTCCTCTCTTTGGGTGAGACACGACAACTCCGTTGGTACACATTTGCCTTCCATCTGAACTACCAACACCTCAACTGATTTCATTCACAGTAACAGAATCACTTCTCGTGCAAAAGTTGTCACCTATTCCTTCTAGCCGTGGTTTAGTAGTAGTAGTAGTATCCACTATTTGATGGGCAAGTATATCATAGACTATTTGAGGTGTGTTTCTGACTCTGCTGTCTTCCTCACATGGAGGCGTAGGGTGCCTGGTAGCCGCCTGGTGGCATCATGCCGGGGACCATGCCTGGGGGCATCTGCTGTGGAGGGACTCCCATCTGTGCTGGACCAGATGTGATCATCAACTGGGGTTCACCTGAGATCAGACAAAACATAAAATACATGTGGTTAGACTAGGAATCTCACCAAAAGCTTACTGGGCACATTGTTTGCATTGTATGTTTTTATGTGAAAGATTGTGGGTTGGGTTCCCTGAACAAGTCATAGCCAAGACTTTAAAAAATAGGACTGTTTCTCTGCACAGGAAGGAGTATGATATTAAGAATGGTGCTACCAGTGGACTAGCCTCCTGCTGTAGTGATATCTGTTGTTGTAGGGCTGTATGGCCCAAGGGATAAAGAAACCGAGATGGGCATTGCCCTACATGGTGTGGGTAGGATTGTTTGAGGAATAAGAACTCACCATAGACTATTGGCTGTTGTGTTGTGGTTTCTTCCTCTTTCCTCTGTTCCTCTGATTCTATTAATTTGTCCACCTGCGAAACAAAGAGAGCAGACGTTATCATTAAACCAGTCATTTTCAAAGCTTGAAAAAAAAGAAGAAGAAACAACTTATTTCAAACTCCAATTGAATTTCACAGTCACAGGGATACAGGGCTTGGAGCTTTTGTTGTACCTTTGAAATGTATTCCCGCATAACATTGACAAAGAACGGCATGGCAAAGTCCAGGATGTTATGCCTCCAGGACAGCTCTAGAATGACATCTGGCCGTAACAGGTCGTAGCAGGTGTACAGGGTTGCCGCAAAGCACTCGTAGTTCTTCTGTTCCAAGAACCAGGCGATCAGCTCTTCTGCCGTTTCCGTGTCCCGTGACTCGGCTGCGTATTCCAGGGCATCCTGGAAGTCAAATGTGAACATCTTGACAAGAAGGCCTTGGGGGGTGAGATGGAATTTACCTATCTTTAGTTCAAAAAAGGTATCCACTAGAGTTTTAGTCAGTTTAGATCTGGACCTGTTCCTAGTAATAACATAATTTTACAGGTACAGTACCAGTACAAGGCACAACTGCTGATCATATCATTGCCAGCACAAATGTGACACCAATCTTAGAGGTAGAAGCCTAACCTTGAAGAGCAAAAAGACATTGGCACCAACAATTTGTCAGGAAAAAATTCTATGACCCATTAATGGTGACTCTTGGCTGTACCATTTGATAAAATTTCTAGCAAAAGTGCAAGTATTACAGGTAGGACTGGGGGTCAGACCTTGAAGAGCTTGTCTCTCTTGCACAGTTCGACTGCCTGCTTCCAGCGGTTGTTCCCCTTGAACAGGTAGGCTGATATCCGCCGGAACTCGATCAGCTCGTGCTTTTCCAACCTCTGGGCCAGGGCGATGTTGTCGAAGTTGTCAAACGCATCTATGGATGCTCTCAAGCCCTGGAGGTAGATCATTCAAATGGTTAATGAGTGGATGATGAAATTATTAAAACCTGAATACATATTTCTAGTTTTTTTTCTTCTTCAGAAATACGTAATATAAGGCAACACAAGCTGATTTGTGCTGTTACCTTTACAACTTGGATGTAAGAAAAAGTTTATATACCTGGTAGTCTTCTTCTTCAATAAGCAGGTTGTTGAGGGCCTCGTTCAGGGCCTTGTTGTTGTGGGTTTGCACCGAGCGGAGATATGGCTTCACAAGGGGCAGATGGCCAACCTGTGGCATGGGCAAGGAAGGAAGGAAAGAGACATCAGCATCGGACTAGTCTTTGACACAAATGTATTCCTCAGTTTTACATTCTATGACCAACAACTCCATAGGACTACATCTTATCTACAAGAATCTTGGACACAGAATTGGACTTTTTCGCAAGAGGGATTGAAGAGGACATCTACATCTGGGCAATACAACCATCCCTCAACAGAGACGGGGGGCGCCACAGACTTTCTGCAACCTATGACCCACTGTGTATTATCTATGTGACGTCACGGAAGCAGTGGATTGCTCAATCCTTGACAAAGAGTTAGACTGGAGTTGTACAGTCGAAAATTTGGTGAGTCCAATTTTGTGGGTTGGCAATTACAGTTCGATCTTGTTCATAAGGACTACATCTTATAAGTAGCCACGTAAGACAAGTGGGTACCTTCTGGAAGAAGGTGACAGCGCGCGTGTGGTCCATGCGGGGTGTAAGCACGGTCAACAGGTCGTTCAGCAACATGGGCTTGTAGTCCAGGTAGAACTGCAGTGCCTTGTAGTATAGCTCTATGTTTGCAACCTGGAAGACAACAAAATACCATGTGAAAATCAAGGTACAATTTTAGATGATTATAGAGTTAGAATGATGAGGACAATAAATTAATAGAATGTGGACAAGTCCTGTGGTGATCTGGCCTATACTGTATCTTTCAGTAATTGACTAAAACAGTGCAGGTAACCTGACAAGACAAAGCAAATGTTCTTTGGTAAGATGTGTTTGCGAATAGTTCAAGATTTACAGTATGTCACTAAGAGATAGCAACGAAGCATAGCAGTTTAAGAACAAAATCATAATCTAAACGTATTCACATCCAGTGCAATCTACGTATATTCTAACATCAAAACAAAATTTAAGACGCTAAGTGACACCATTTGTTACAAAGTACATGTAACTGCATTATCTGAGTTGCAGAAGAAAAATGCCCCCACCCATAAGGAGTTACCAAAAAGTGGTACCTTAGTGATGATATCCTTGAACATGCCTTCCTTCCAGGAGTCTGTGGGGTGGGCCATCATGGTGACGATGGCGTTGTCGTACTCCTCGTACTTGTCGTACAGGAACACCAGCTCGGCCCACAGGTGAGCCTGCTCTGCTGCACGCAGGACCTAACAATCATGTACAGACACAACAGTCAACCTACAAAATATCCATAAGCCTCAAATGATGTATTTCAACATTCTCTTCATTATTTCTAGTCAGATTTATTGTGATTCTCAACCTTTTCTTCCTTTCACTTTAGCACTTTCACTTAAGCGCTCTTCATCTATGAGGGTTTTTGTGTAGCCTCACAAAAATTGTGCTTCTGAGAGTGACTGATCAGACCTGTAGGTGCTTGATGGTGACTATCTATAAGCTGGGGGAATCAGTCCTAATATGAGTAAGCCATGTAAACGTAAAAGTTGCAGAGTTCAAGCTCATGACTACGATGCTGTGGTTCCAATCAAAATCCAATCAACTTTCCATATGGTGACTACCATACTGGCCTCCCATTACTAATTCTTCATAGTTCTCACGGTTATGTCCACAAACTTTGCAAAAGTGGAACGTTATGCAAAAGGCGATAGTTTGCATCCCACAGCCCACCTTTGGAATGTTGACACGTGACCAGAAGAGCTCGAGATGCTCCCTCATCTTCTGTGGTTTGTACTTGGAGTAGAGGATGGCCAGCTCTGTGAACATCCCCATGTGAGCCCGCTCCAGACCCAGGGCAGCCTCCAGCAGCTGGATCAGTTCCTCAAAATATCTGCACAAACATACATCAACATGTAAGAACTGACAGGTACTGTGGTACAGGGTAGGATGGGGAGATGTTCACTTGGTATCATGAATCTACAAATCTGATGGAAAACATTTTATGCTTTTGTTCCAGACTTGAAGTATCAACAATAAAAACAGTCTGTCATGAATAGGGCTGTGTACTTAAACGTAACAACAGGTACCGGTACAGAGGTTAAGATTTTCATCTTTATTCAGATAACTTGGCAGCCTTATGCCATATTCAAACAATACAAAACCATGTGGACTTTTTTTTTTGCTGCATACAATACTCAAGCTGTTCTTGAAAGATCTGCTCCTTCTAGATGTC